GTGGCAAGCAGTCGGAATCATCTACGCAAAATGATGGTGCTGACGTTGAGTCTGTGGTGGGAACACGGGGCTCATCGCTGGATGGTAATGAGGTGGATGATGACGACGAAGCAGGATTACCGACAGACGACGACATTACTGTAGCAAGTGTGTTCTCATTTGATGAGAAGACTATCTCAATGGAGAATAACAACTCGTCGAGTGGTGTGGGGCTTGAAGAAGACCCAGAGAGTACTGATGAACATCAAAGTGCGGTTGTGGACAATAATAACGCGCAGAAGATGGACGCTAGTGTTTGTCTTGATCCAGTTGTCATTCGAGAAACTGGAAAGCGTACCCACCGCGATGAAACTCAGTCGGAAGAGGCTCGTGTGGAACACGAGGCCGCAAAGCCAGATACCAAGAGAACTCGAACAGGACTTCGAGAGGTACAAGAAAGACGTCAACCTCGACGCTTTGATGACTTTGTGATGAATGCAGCGACTTCACGGGTTCTGGATGAGCATGGCCGGCCTATTCGTGCTTGTGAGGTGAAGATTCCTCGTAAAAGACGTGAGGCACTGCGATCCAGGTTTGCTAACTATTGGATGGAAGCAGAAATGGTAGAGATCGCTGCACTGAAGGCAAAGAAGGTCATCCAAGAAATACCGGATGAGGACATGCCCGAAGATGCGAAGCCTGTGAGTACAATGTGGGTCTATGCCTTGAAGTCGGATCATCAGGGTTACGTGATAAGATTCAAGGCTCGGATAGTTGCGGTGGGGAATCACCAGCGACCAGGCATTGACTTCAAGGAAACGTTTGCCCCTGTGGCAAGAATGGCTTCGTTTAGACTGTTGTTGGGACTGGCGGCATTACTGGGATTAGAGGTATACGGAGGAGACGTGAATACCGCTTACCTCAATGCATGGCTAGGCATACGACAATATCTACACTCCATCAACGGATATCCGTGCAGAGTGAGTGGTCATTCTTACGTGGTACTCAAGGCTTTGTATGGATTAAGACAATCGGGTCGAGAATGGAATTCAGAACTTAATGATTGGTTCATTCAGCGTGGATACCAAAGATCGTTGACGGAGCCGTGCCTGTACTACCTGTTTGATGGTGGCACGATGGTATACGTGCTAGTATACGTCGATGATATCTTGGTTGCAACAAACAGCAAGGAGTACAAAGATCAGTTGTTCATGGACTTGGACAACACGTACGGTCTCAAGGACCAAGGGCTGTTAACACAGTACTTAGGTGTGGAAGTGACTCACACGTCAGAGTACATTATGATCAGTCAAGGCAAGTACGCAAGAGAGATTCTTGGCAAGCTGGGATTTGAAAATGCACATGCAGTAGGAAATCCAATGGAAGTAAATTCACGGCTCACACCTCTTGGAGAGAAGGAGAGTGCAGACGGCAGCTTTCCGTACCGTGAAGCCATTGGTATGCTCATGTACCTGGCTACAAGTACCAGACCGGACTTGGCTTATTCATTAGGCCAACTGAGTCGCTTCGTAGCGAACCCATCGGCGAAGCATATTGGAACGGTAAAGAGAGTGCTGCGCTACTTGGCCGGGACCTTGGATTATGGAATCAAGTACGAGAAAAAGAAGAACAACTCGAAGGAGTTGGTGTTGCAGGGTTACTGTGACAGTGACTCGGGCTAATGACCCAGATCAAAGGAAGAGCACTACTGGTTTCGTGTTTATGCTGGCAGGCGGAGCTGTAGCATGGATGTCACGAAGACAATCCCGTCATCGCTTTGTCGACCGCGGAGGCGGAGTACATTGCAGCGTGTGAAGCCACAATGGAGGCAGTTGCTGGGAAAAATGTTTTGCAAGAGATGTTACCGCTGCACGATGTGAAATTGCGTGTAGGAATTGACAGTCAAGCTGCTCACGTGATGGCAACTAATCCTACCTACAGCAGACGTACGCGCCACATTGAATTACGGTGGCATTACGTACGAGAGCAAGTGCAAAAAGGCACTGTGGAGTTGCATAAGGTGAGGGGGGAAACAAACCCTGCCGACACGTTCACCAAGCCTCTGGACAAGAAGCGACTGAAAGGATTGTTGCTGATTGCAGGCATTGGAGCAGAAAAGTAGTCGAAGACCAGTATTCGACATCGAAGACCGATCTTCGAGAAGGGCGTGTTGGATTGTGCATCGAGGCCTGGCGCAGATTGAAGAAAGCTGGAACAGCAAAGAAACCAGATCGTTATATGAGAGAGGGCAAAGGCCCGTGAGTGTTGGTCAATGCTCAGGACTGACACAAAGTAATTCAGTCTTCATATTTTCCCTTTGCAAACAAGGAGTTTGTTTGTTACTTCGCGGGGCGTGTCTAAGAGCCACAACTCCCAACATAAGCTGCTAGCCTTTGAGATTTTTGACGGCTGGGCCAGCTCAATAGGCAGGAGCTACAAAATCTACGCTATCGGTACCTATGCATGTGCATTTAATTCAAACAAGCTGTCCATGTTTTCCTTTTATGTGTGTGACCATTTGGAGGGTTTCGATGTATCTATTATTGTGTATGTCCGTCATACACTTCGCTTTGTGCCTTAGCGCACGAAGCGCGGGCTGACCGATGTCTTGAGAATTCGCGCCACCAAGCCCGTATGTCTTAGTAATTAGTGCCATAAATATTTAGGCTTGGTATTAAAAATACAAATTGGAAATTGCTAAGTCCAATACAATTTGCTGTTAGATCAAAGTATTGACAAAATGTATATTGACAATAGATATAATACAAGTGCCTTTGGGTAGAATCTGACCACACGTTTCAGAATGGCATTGGTTGTCAGCAATTGACGAATAATGCGATTTGTACAGATTGTCCAAATATAACAAAACCGAACTTGAGGAGCTTAGAGTAAATTTACTGAAATGCCAGGTTTAGTTTGTGCGTGACACATGTACAGGTACAAGTAGGGGTTTTCAGCTAAGGCGAACAGGTCAAGGTTGCATAGCCGTGCGGTAAATGCGGAGACGCCACTGCCGAGCTCACCAGCGAGCCCCGCACTGTACCCTCCAGTACCCCCAATCTTTAAATCGCTGGCGAGCCGCGGGGCGCCGAAGGGGTGCGCAGCCAAGGGCAGCCCGGCTTGTATTTGCCCAAGCTTGATGAGTTCTGGAATATAAGAAAGTAAATTGTAAATTGCAGTTTTTATATAAAATTGGACTATTTGCACACTTTTGCTTACACAAAATCCGACAATCTGTCCAAAACAAACCAATACCTAATTTTGGCTATTGGTTGACTGAAATTTATTGATACCGAGTCTGTTTTTTATACAGGGCTTTTAAACTTTAGTTCACAAATCAATGATAGCAGAATGTTTTTAATTAGCGGGGCTTCTATGGGGAACCTTCGTTTACTAAAGCTTTTTCTTCTTTCTAGAATTGAGTACAGCGATTGTAAACTTGTAAGCAAATATTATAAAGCCGAATAAAAAGCTGCGCTGCGTCATCAGCGGCACCCCATAATGACAGCTGAATTTTCTAAACCTTATTGTGCATTTCAATGATTTTGTCGTTTTCACGAGAAAACGTTAAAAATGCATGAAGAAATCTAACAATGCCGGGACGATTGGAGCACAAAAAGACATAAATAAACCAAGCTGAGCGCGGTTTCTAATTGCACAGCGCGCGGCCTCACAAATAACACTAAAGTAAAGGTAGTTTAAGTAGCTGAAAAGTAGACAATCTTATTAAATTTTCAAATAATTAAAAGTAACGGCTGCATTTGCAATCGTCTCGCGTGTCATTCCAGCAACGGCATTTGGGTAGCGCGAGCTCACAGCACGCCCAGAAGCTGCAAGAGTGCGATGCCGAGCCTTAGCGCCAAGCAGCTCTCTCCGGAGGTGCTCCGCGCAGGTGATCTGATCGAGTGTTACAGTCGTCGCTTTGTCCTCAGCGATCCTCGAGGCCTTCGTGTCGCCGCTGTTCAAGGCATCGATGACTGGCCGGGTGTACCTCTTTCGGTCAAGCTGGACACCATGGAAGCTCTGCCTCTCGACAATCTGTTGCGCCGTCGCCGAGACAGCTCAGGCAAAAAGCTAGACGTAGAGAAAGAGACGAAGTGGCGAAAGCTACGGTCCTACAAGCTAGAGGCCGGCAAGATCAGACGCCCAACTCACGCCAGCACTATTGGAAAGCGTCTTTCGGCTGCTGTCGACGCTGTCATGGCTGATGTGCGTGAAATACTGCGAGAACAAAGCGAGGGAATCTCTTTATCACGCCCGTTGGTGTACCGGAGTCTCCGCCCCACCTTGGTAGAGGCATTATTGAGAAAATTGACTCCAAAACATAAAAAAAACGGTCCTCGTCCGGATGAAACGCGCGCACAGGACCTCACCAGTGTTCAGGGTGACGAGGTATACAAGGGTTTGGCATGCAAGAAGGAGAAGATCTTCAGGTGGACCAAAATCATTCTACTGGCACTTTGAATCATGAAAAAGCTTCCAGCAGCCCCAAACCGTCCACGCCAACAAGTCCAACGGGTGGTTCGGAGCTAGAACCCTCAAGAACATCATCCGAACGAGCGCGTTAGCCAACCACTTCCAGAATCAAACCTACATGGACGCGGTACCTACTCGCTGGATGCGAGAAAAAATAGACACAAGGCGAAAAAGAGAGCAGGTGGGTGGGCCACTCCACGCTCCCCATAGAAGCGGTATCAGGCCAAGTGTGGTGTTACTCGAAGCGTTGACCATATCTACCATGCACATTCGTTGAAAGCAAAAAGGGTTAAAGCACTGCTACGACTTTCAGGAGTCGTTACCAGACTTAAAAACCTTCGCGAACGGCGCTCTATGTACGTTATGCCAGCAACTACCACAGCCAACCACCTTCGTATTAAAGTGCCATGGCCCTCGGAGGTACGCAAGATACGTGAGTGAATGAATTCGAGTGGGATCATTTTCAAGGACGTTGGTGATTTGGGAGTTTGCTCATGCTTTGGCGACTGCTTTATGAATACATGTACAAGTTCAGTGGCTGCCGTCTATTGATCTCCGGACATTTGCACACTGGGGTCTGTCTGCAGTAGCACTCCGAGGTCGCTGGAAACGCTCAAACTGTACGACACAGGACGCGTGGGTCTCGGCGTAGTCACGACGACGGACTTAAACGTTGGCGACGCTGTAGGTGAGTACAGACAACGACACAAAAAGCCGGAGTTGATAAACACAATTCCGATAGTGAAATCTGCGACACAAAAACTCGGACGACTAGCATATTTTGATTGGATGAATAAAACTGAGAGTATGGAAAAAAAAGCTTAGCTACGCTTGTTTATTATACCGTTGTCGACTCATAGCACGGAATGGCTGATTTAAAGCTACGAATTACGTGCTCGTTGGGAAACCTTTCCCAAGCTGCAATTGTAGCTTTTATGGCTCGAAGACGTTTTTCAGCAGCCGTAAGGCCTTTATTGGGTAGTTATTTACCTCGAATTTGAGACTTTAGAGGTCCCATTACCCCTACATCAAGCGGTTGACAAACCGATGTAGCTTTAGCGGGTAATGGGACCACTGCAGCGCATGCCTGTTCGGCTACCACACGCATACCCTCCACTGAAACGTGACAATAAAAATTGTCCGCTAAGAGGAGGGCAGGGGAGTCAATTTCATATTTTAAAATATCTTCTACATAAAACTCTCGGCCGACTGTATCCATCCAGCCAAACTCTTGTACTGTGTAAAAGTGACCACTTGGCAGCGTGCTTAACGCGTTGTAATCAATAAATCCGCCACGTTTGCCGCGCAGTACGAAGAGAGTCGGAATTGTTTCCCAAAAACAAACATTTTTAGTAAACAAAAGTAAAAAAAAATTTAAAACTTATAATTAGCGCAAGGAAAAAAATATATCATAACAATTTACCATCAGCGCGAGCTGTCATAACAGCCGTCATGCGTCCGCAGTGTTTTGTCAGATTTTGGACTCTAGCTGATCCTTTTCGCCCTTTAATTGTCCAGGTTCTTGCTGGCGGAATGTCGAACTGGATGGCCGTTTCATCCATGTTGTAGATTTCCGGTAGAGAGTATGAACCGTACTTACACCAAAATTCAATTGCAAAATCCGTTTTTAAGCGCTTCAGATCCACACTTGGGAGCTTGGTTTCTTGGGCATTTTGAGGTGAGAATCCGTAACTAAAATCAGGTTCAAAAATATTTTTTTATTAATAACTCAGTTAATAATATTTTACAGATAATACCGGTCGTCGGTTCGCTGCAGTAGACGTTCAAGGGCCCGTCTCCCACTCTCGTCAGACGTCTTGTTCTCCGCGTAGGCCTCTATCCAGTCAGGGTAGTTCTCTTGAGTAAAAGCAATCATTCCTGATGTAGTAGGAAACTACAAGAGTTAAACAGTAAGAGTAAGTCATAATAAAATACTATAAAACTTAAATAACTCACTTCTTCGTCACTGCGTACGTCTTTCATGTACGTCAAAAGGGCAGAGGTAAATGGAAAGCTTTCCTTACGTCCCTGCCCTTTGGTCGTCTTGTCCAACTTGTTCCCCTCGTAGACGCGCCGCTTGGCCCTACCGACCCACCACCCATGCACCGTGGCCCAGCTTTTCAACGGCGGCAGTGAGCCCAATCCTCTCAATGAAGTCGACTACCGCCAGCTTCTCTTTAATTGAGTAGCCGCGCTGCTTCTTCGTCCCCATCGTAGGTTTAGAAAGTGATCGTGCAGCGCGGCTTCACCCTCGAATTGCTGGCTTCCAACCGAATTTTAGCTCAATTTATTGGATGGTCATCATAATTTAACTACTTTTTGATTAGTCAATATTTACTATGGGGTGCTTTCATTTTTCCGTGTTTTGTGTACGCTGGCTTTTTGTGTCGTTGTCTGTACGCCGGCGTGCTTAGCGAGTACGAGACCGTGGTCGAGGGGTAGCCGTCGCGGACACTGAAGTACAACAGCGGCTACACCTTGTTGTACAACACGAAATTTGCTACTAACAAGTATGTGTATGTCGAGGCTAAAACCGGCGGGTTCATCACGCGATTCATCAGCCATTCGTGCAAGTCTAACGCAGCCTTCATGAAACTGCAGAACAGGTCAAGTGTCAAGGTCGTGGTGAATATGATAGAAGACGTCAGACCGGTGAGCAAATCACCGTCAATTACGGTAGCCAGACTTGGTTCAAATGCGCGTGCGACGAATTCTGGTCAAAGGAGGCGGAGTAGGCTAAACACTCGCATCAATCCTGTTGCTAAACCTGTGCTAAGGACTTTCAATTGCTACTTTAGTAGGAAAACCTTGCCAATCAAGTACTGGGGTTTCACAAGTTGCATTCTGCGTTTTGTCGCCTTGTACTTCCGCCTCAACTAATATCAGCACGCAACGTATCTCGCAGATACACACGAGCATTTATCTTTACTGACGATGCGAGGAATCAGATCTTATAGTTGTTTTCACGGATGTATAGCTGTTGGTGCACATCACCTTCCTCTGGATATCTCTACACAGAGACTTCTCGAGCGTTCTGAAGCCACCGTGGGCAACCCTCACTCAAATCCCTCCCCGCCGGCTCATGACGCGGTATTGGGGTGCTCACTAGCTTTCCATCCGCCCTTCCGCGAGTTCAGGAAGAACGTCAGAGCAGGGCCCACTCGCAGTGGCCTTCCCCCTACTTCACCTCCGCTGCGCTTCCTCTTGCTGCGGCTGACCAGGACATTGTTACCACCACTGTCTACAGTCTCCGTTGTAGGAAGGGCAAACACCACGCGTACACAGACACCGAAGGCGTAACAATAACCACAAGAACACCACCGCTTTTTGATATCAACCGGCCACCCTCCCCATGGCTGACCCTGCACCTCCATACGTGCGTAGTTTGTTCCCATTTGGGAAGAGACAGCAATGCCTACTTCTGTTCTCTTGCGTGGTGAGGCTTGAACTCGCTGCGTCATCGTCGACACCACCTGGAGCATCCAACATACGCAGCCGTCGCTAAACCACCGTTCCAGTAGCCGATTAGTGATTACTTTTTCCATGTCGCACACCCTGCGTGTGAGGGTTGGCTGAACAGAGATATCAAAGTTGAAAGGTCGGGCATTCGACGACACGTCGTGGCAACATGCTGACAGCTCACGCAGCAGTGTGCCCATTTTGAGTCTACACCTCAGAGTGGAGTCGCGCTTCAGACGGGCATTGAACGTTTCAACTGGGTTGCTCGTCGATGCAAAGCCCGACCGGATGAAGTACCGCTGCCACTTCCAGTACCTCCCGTACAACATGAAGAGCTTGGTCCCCCATTTATGGGGCTTGTCCTTCATGTAGACTCTCATCCGGTTGAACGTTGATCTTGAAGGCAACATTGCCTCATCAAATGCCATCACTGGAGGCCGTATGTAACCCGCTTTGAACTGTTGTTGGAGCGCGTCGATCACAGGACGCAGCTTCCAGGCACGATCTGTTGCGGAGCGGGGGTCGTTGTTGCTGCTGAAGTGGAGATTTCGAGAGATGTGCATGAAGCGATCCCGCGACATGAAAATCCCGAAGCGTCCACGAGGAATTCCTCCTTCGTCTGTCGTCTTCCAGTGATTCTCCTTTTTTTACTTGTTGGGAGCAACTGTTCGAGCAAATAGAAGCCCAACGAATACGCACAGCTCTCGAGCAGTGATAGGTGGCGTAGAGAGTAATGCAGCCTTGATCGCATCGCGCGTGCTCTTCTTGAATCCAGGAATCTTCTTCTCTCTTTGTTCCTGCTTCGTATACTGTCCTTCAACCCGTTCGTCGATCTTTTCATCAAAGTATTCGTTGCTTGCCTCCGCGATGTCTTCCCACAAGCGAGGCTGCATGAAGTAAAATAGCACCCCAGAAACCGTCGTGGCCGCTTCTAGACTTCTCGGTGTAGGTCCGTAGTGTTCTCGGAACAACTGCGGGTAATCCTCTTGCATATTCGCCGTGCGAGGCTCATAAGGCTGGTCGAGATATGGAAATGGACTGTATGATACAGGATTAGACCATCCTTTGCTTGCCATATCCTTCAGGATATCAGCGCTAATCGTGCCGCTTGTAATACTAGCCATATTACCAACCGCAGTTAAAAGATCGTCGTCAAACAATGCTTCTGCTGGATCTTCATCATCTTCTTCCAGCTCGTCTTCGTCTCCTCCTTCAGTTTCATCTCCGAGTGCACTGTCAGCGCCGTCAGAACACCCGTCATCGTTTTCAGCATCGGACACCATGGCTTGGTACTCCTCAGGATCGTCTGCGTCTACAGTAATGTTGATATCTGCTACAGCAAGTATACAATCTACGATCAGTATCCTGTATCCCAAGCGTGTACATACGATCTAAAACGCACCATCACAAAACGCAGCAATCCTTGCCGACCGGCGAGGACCCGTAATCTCTTCTTGTCGTACGGTCATTAACCTCGTCAAACGCCGGGTCCAGATTGCGTTGAATCTCGGGATCATCTTCCGAGCTTGGCTCATCGTCAGACTGGAGGCTATAAGTCATACGAGCTGACACGTCGGGGTAATCGACTCGTGGGGTTGGAGAGAGATGAGGCGATGTGCAGCGCAACGTAGGTGAAGGCTGGCTGCCATCACTATCACTGCGCGAGACGCCATTAGCTTCATCTACAACACAGCAGCAATATACATGTTAGATCGCACGCTAAACGGTATAATACAGGTAAACACAGCATCATACCATTGACTGGCGTTGTTTTTTGAACAACAACATCATTCGTGTCTCTGCTGTCTTCATTTTGCTGATCACCACCTTCTGTATTGCTCTCCTCGCGTAACGTAACTGCTGTAAGTACCACGTTTGTATTATGCATCATTAGCCGGCAGAATATCGTGTATATTCAAGACCAAGCATTACAATACCGCTAAACGTGGCATCGACGTCTTCCTGAGGCTCAACGCATTTAGCAGTCGTAGCAGAGGCTGCTTCTGGTAGTGTAGGCTGCTGTGCTTCTTTGGCAGCTTTCTCTGTTTCAATATAACACGTTAGACTGTCATTATGCGATGCAAAATAGTTCAAGGTCTTACCAAGATCAATGCGGTCTAAGTAGCGCATTAATTCCTCTTTTCCGACGAAAACATCGACGCCACGGGTGTCCTTCTTGGTCTTACCAGGCTTCAAGTATGTGAAGTCAACAGAGAGGCCAGCCGGCCTCTTCGAAGACCAGCCTGCCTTCTTCAGCTCAGCCCAGCGGGCGCGAAAACCTGACATCTCTTGGACTCGGCGCAAATTCTTTAATGAGTGAAATGAGTGGCGTGTGAGCTATTGACTGTAAGAATTTGTCATACGTAGTCCACACCACACTAAAACCTCTTAGACTCAATTTTTAGAAAATGGAAAGACGCACTTCGAGCGGGAAAAGAGTAGGTGAGACAACCCGGCACCCCGTCCCCTATTTCATTTAAAGTTTGTAAACCTCAATACAAACGTCAAGTCAAAATTTCTTATCGTGTATGGTCCAGGATAAGCTTTTTCTGATATCGTGTCTAATACAGGCCGTCGCGCTCAAGGGGTTAAGATGGATGCGGTGTGGCGCGAGTAGCACACACCGAGCCGCCTCCAAGTTGTCAACAAACAACTGTTCCTTCTGAACAAGGGTACACTCGTAAGCACTCCTAGAGGTGTGGCCGCCAACAAGGCCACGAGGAGCGACGAGAAGCTCCAGGAAGAGGTCAGCCCCAGAGCTCTCCTCGGGAGGCCAATACCCTCTTGAGTTGATGGCAGCTCCCTGGCTGACGGGTGCCACCACCGACGCTGGGCAGCCTGAAAGTCCTCCTGCTGCTGGTCGAGGTCGTTAGAGATCTCCCGGGGCTCAGAAATAGCACCCTTTTCATCTTCCTCCTCTTTCTCGTCCTCTTCATCCGAGGAATCGAAGAGGCCTCGATGGAAGTACCCAGTCTCTTTCTCCTCGCGGAGTGGAGACTTAGAAGCCGGACGCTTCTTAGAGGGCTTGGCGCCTTCGGCCTTAGCACGCGCCAGACCCTCGGCAAGCGAGAGACGTTTGCGAGGTTTCTCTTCCTCATTGCCACCAGCTTTGAGAGTGCCCTTAGCCTTGACGGCCGGGCTCTCAAGAGCGCACAGACGTCCTGGGACTGTGATCACCTTGATCACTAGCGAGCGACTGCACGCTGCCGTCCTTGTGCTCGCTGGGCACTGGGTTGTACCCTCCCGCAGAGCCCGCACGAGCATGGTGCGTGCTCTCGGACTCGGCTTCGTCCCCACTGCCAGAGTCGAGCTCACGTTCAGCGAACCGAGGGCTCGGACGATTGTCTGGAGAAGCCGAGGGCGACGGGCTGCAACGCTTGTTTGCTTGCTCACTTGCCCACAGCCGCGTCACCCAATGAGCTGATCGCCTCGATGCCACCTGAGTAGCCTCCTGAAGTGCCGAGCCTTTGCCATGAGGCTTAGTGCTCTTGGCTTGCGCCTTTCTGGCAGCAGCCTTGGAGCGTGTCTTTGCACTGCTCTTCGTAGTGCCACGAGGCATGACAAACGGTCGAAGTGGAGATTAAGAAGAGGAGCGCACAGACTGCTGCTCGAGGCTCTAACTGTGAAGTGAGCCTCCGCCGCGCTCGCGCGACCAAGTCGATGTTTTTCGACTTTGGGAATGAAAGTCTGTGACGACCACTTCTTCATTCTGATTGGTCGGTAAACCGAACCTAAGTGGGAGAGGATGTAACGGGGTACGTAGCCCTAAGTGTACCCCTAGTTACATGAAGCGTGACACGTCACACTTCAGAAGTATGACGCATCATACTTCTAGATATTTGGTACAAGGTACCAAGGTCGTCCAAAGCCAACCATTGGCTGATGATATTGCTTTTCGATAGGTGACTTATAGTTTGTATCTAACCCAAGCTTTATCTACCTATAAATATACTCAGCTTACATTCTACCTCAAATTGATCACTTCGCTCCCTTTACGCAAAAGGAGACCTGTGAACTGCCATTCACTGAGAGCTTGTATACTCTCGGAAGCCAACTTCCTGTGCTGTGTCACGACTACAGACAGCCTGAGTAACATGATATGCTGCTATACCTGATAGAGGGTCGTCCACGGGCATACCTTCGGACCATACTTGTGAACAAAAAAAACTTTTAGAAGAGAGCTAAGAAAATCATGTTAATAATTAAGAAAAGCGCATTTTACCGGTAGCGTTACTCAATTTAATTCGAGGAGACGTGACAAATACCGGTAGCGTTGTAATCTAAAAATTAAAATTTGAAGTACATGGGCAATGCGACGCATCATAAAACCTGCAAGATCGAGATACGTCGCCGGCGACCGTCTCATTCAAGAAGAAGCTCACGAGTATTAATAGCAAATACACCCACACCTCGATGACTCGAGCCCATTTGCTGCTATCGTTGCTGGTACTGCTGCTTGATCTGCTGACAGTAAGCGAGGCCGCCACTTACCATCTCGTAGGCCAGTGGATGCCTGCTACCAAGAACACGGCTACAGAGAACCTGTTGGCCGAGGCGCTACAGAAGAAGAATCCGTCGCTGAAGTCGCAGATGTGCTTCACAGAGGTCGCGGCCATTGAACAGCAGATCGTCAATGGGATCCACTTCCGTTATCACGTGCGTGGATGCGAGACGGCCACGCCCGGCCGCTGTAATAGCGGCACATGCGCAACCGAGAAAAAGTTCGACGTCGAGCTGTTCGTGCAGCCGTGGGCCGACATCGTACAGGTCATGTCTGCAGTCGACGTGCAGTAGACCATACTTACCCACTGAGAAGCAGCGAGAATACAAGGAGAGACGAAAAGGGAGGCAGCTTATAGACAACAGCTTTACGACGCTGTGAACACAAATCCTGAGAAAACTCTGCGAAAATGCGGCAGCGTGTTCGCTGACAGCTTCGTCGCGGTTAATCTTCATCGATCTCGATTGTCATTTTCGCTTTCTCTTTTCACTTAAAAGTACTCGGTGTGCTTGCGCTCCACATCAAGGTGGTCAGTATGGAAGGCGTTAGGTCGCATCACGACCTCTTTACTGTGATCGGATCCGTTCCTTTTCGTCTGAACTTCAGTCCTCCATCGATTCTCACCATCGCGTGATCCGCGCTTCAACTCGAAGCTCTCCGCAGCTCCAAGTGGTCGGCGAGCGAGCCATCGCGCTGGCCACTTTCGGCTACCAAGCTCCATGGAGACGAGAACAGAGCTAGCTTCGCCTCGTTGCGAGTATCTCTCTCTTCTTCCTCTCTCCAGTGTGCAGGAATGATTCTACGTCACAGCAAATGGTCTACAAGAGATCCTGTGCCGGTGGTCCAATATCCACTAATACATGCAGCTATGCGAGCATGTCTGTAGTCATTTAGCGCAACATTGCATGATGTCTACCAGCCACAAAATAGTGTTGTACAGTTGTCCCCGGCACACTTGGCGAGAAATTGATGATCGTACCGTGACAAATCGAAATAGTGGTGCTCTTTAACTGTCGTATCCGTTTCTTTTCTTTTTCTACCAATCGCATCGTTCTGCAAAACGTCATTTTGACGAATCACAGCGTGTCGTCATTCGCCCGCACCGCTGAGCGCTCACTTCCACTTTTGCGGTCTCGCGCTCACATCGCCGAAGCCGAAACAGAGCCTTACAACGCCGAGTCAGTGGTTGGATCGGAGCCCGAAGCACAATGGAGGGCCAATGGCGATCAGAGATCCCCGAGGACATGCGCAAGAAGATGATCACTGAAATGTACGTCCTTTCTTGTGTCCATGGCAGCGTTTGAGAGGTTGCGAGCGCTCTAGGGGCATCGCCAGAGCTCGCAAGAAACGGCCCCTTCCTCTTCGTATCTGAGAGCCGCGTGTGGCGTGCAAGTGTACTTACCTACTTTGTATACATAGGTATCACGAGCTGGCGCGTATCTCTGGCGAGGTAGACAAGCAGAAGGTGTGGGGATCGGCCGCCAAGTTCGAGCTCATGTTGTGGTCCAGCAGCCCCGACCGAGTAAGGATACATCACGTGTGCGATAAACACAGACTGTCGTACTCACTTACCGTGTATGTAGAATTCGTACTTAATGAAGATGCAGCGTAAAATCATGAGTCTCAAGAAGAAACCGGGGCCGGGGGAGATGCAGCAGTCCAATATGATGGCCAACGCCAACAACGTCGTGACGTCTAACGCCATGAACGCAGCGACGAACGGCTTGAACAACGGCCTGACTATGAACATGAACGCTGCCAACATGGGTGCAGCCTTGAATGCACAGCAGTTCCAACAGAACAACGCAGCGGCGAGTGCAGCGATGAACACGTTCCAGCAACAAGCTCAGGCTCAGGCTCAGGCTCAGGCTCAGGCTCAGGCTCAGGCTCAGGCTCAGGCTCAAGCCCAAGCTCAAGCTCAGCAGCAGAATGCTGCAGCTCTGGCTGCTGCTGTGTCTAACGGTGCGTCGACGACGTTAAACGCCGCAGCTTCCGCCGGCTTGAACGCTACCAGTACGACGCCAACGACAGCGGGCTCGACTCCTGCTGTGAGTATCCCGTCGGCTCCACAGCAGCAAGCGCAGCAATGGCTACAACGCATTCAAGTACAGTTCCAAGCCCAGCAACGACAGCTGCTGCACACGCAGAACCAAGAGACGCAGCAGCTTCGACAGCAACATTTGAACCAGCAACAACAACTCACTCAGCAACAGCAGCAGCAAGGTGTCGCGCCCGATTTACGTCGTCAGCAGCTCCAAACACTGCAGCAACAACATCAACTTGCACGTACGCGACTCCAGCATCTCCATAAGAGCAAACAGCAGCAGCTGCAGCGCAAACAACAGCAGTATTTGATGCAGAAGCAACACCAGCTCCAACAGCAGCAGCAGCAGCAAGGCTCCGTCACAGCGACGTCAGCCACAGCGACCAGTAATGCTGTGCCGTCGACTGCGATGATGGCTACACCGCAGTCTGGAGCCTCCTCTGTAGCCATGTCTCTGCCCAATGCGACGACCGTGCAGACGACCGCTCCTACTGCGCCTACGACCCAAGCCGCGTCGACTCTGCAGCGTGGAGTCAATCCGGAACAACTAGCAGCGGCGCACACGCAACAAGCCGCCATGCGAGAGATGCAGCGAGCGCAGAACACGTCCCAGCTGCTAGAGACGGCGTTGAAGCACCAGCTCCCCAATAGCGGCGCTGCGACGACTGCGTCGTCGACTCCTACAGTCGCGGCGACGTCGACGACGCCCACAGCGACGACAAGTGGGAACAGCAGCCAGACGTACGTGGAGAGACTGAAGGAGATGAAGCAGAAGTACTGGGACGACTTGGTGATTGTCTATCGCGAGTTTGAGCGGATGGTCAAGCAGAAACCAGCCAATCAGCAGCAGGAGCGGATCAACACGTTCCTCGTGAATTTAAAGCGCATCATCGCGCTGCTCCAGCAAGACCCCGCCAAGGTGACGAGCAGCAACAAGAACGACCTGGACCGCGTGGAAGCACACATCCACAAGCAGGTGCTGCCGATTCTGGAGCGTCTGAAGAACAAGACGCGCGCTGCAGCGACGAATGGAGCGCCTGCAACTGCGGCCGCGCAACAGGAGCAGCTGAAGAAGACGCAGGAAGCGCAGCGACTCGCGCAGCTTCAAGAACAGCAGAAGAAGATGCAGGAGCAACAGAAAGCCGAAGCGCAACGCAAGCTGCTGGAAGAGCAGAAGAAGAAGATGCAACTCGAAGCTGCAGCTGCCGCAGCCAAGAAGCAAGAGCTGTTGGAGCAACAGCGTCAGCAAAAACAGAAGCAGCTTCAAGCGCAGCAAGCGCTCATGCAGCAGCAGCAACAACAACGACAGCAGCTGCTGGCGCAGCAACAAGCGCAGCTGAAGCAGAACCAGATGCGGATGAACGCAGCTGCGCAACCGGGAGCGTCGGGAGCTGTGACAGCGACGTCCGCTACGCTGTTGGCGGCGGGGAACGGCAATGGGATAACAAGTCTGGGAGCGTCGTTGCAGACTCCAATTGATGTGTCCACGGCGTCTACAGGAGACAGCAGTACAGCGAATGGCATGGCGTCGCTGACGCCGGCGCAGTACCGGACGTTCAAGCTGCCAGAATCGCGAAAGCAGCAACTGACTGCTCAACATGCCAAGCTACGGGAACAACAGCAGGAGCTCATCATGCAGCAAAGTCGAGCCAAGACACCGTCAAACCAGGCCAAGCTGGCGCATCAGGCTCAACGTCTTGCACAGATGATCAACAAGATCTCGCAGCAATTGGTGCAGTGTAAGTTGGCGGAGGAGTACGAGCAGTCCAAGATGGGTTTGACCCCACCGATGTCACAACCTAATGCGACGGCCCTGAATAATACGACGACTGTGAAGCCAGAGACCACTACTCCTGCTGTGAATGGTGCTGCTCCTGTTGTATCGGCTGCTGTGGCACCGGAGACGCCGAAGGTTGATACCACGACTGCTATGACGACTTCTACGAAGGTGGACGAGAGCTTCAAGTCAGTGTTACCCGACATGACCGGCCTGGGTGCGTCCGAGAAACTCTTGACTGCTGTAGCAGCCTACGAGAAACACAAGCCCGAAGTTCTGAAGAGAGGCGCGTCTCGGTTCTCGCGCATTGCTTTGACGATCGGAGCCAAGCTCAAGACATCCTACGTGACTTCCTAGAAAGTGCCTCGAGTACAGTCGACAGCTACCGTGCGGATTCAAACAAGACCCTGCCTGAGGTCCGGCCTAACCGAGGATTGCGATACAAATAGAGACGATGAGGTGGCAAGGATGTTACGCTCAAGGATACGCACACGCTCACAGGGAAGCAATTGTTTTTTTTTTGCTTTATTTATGAAAAAAAAGCTTGGTTGTCGCTTGTCTAAAATAAAGTGAGTTCTTGGAGTCAGTACTGCCATGTCGCTAAAGATTTGATGATGACAAATATGGTGACAAGTTTAGAAGATACGGTCTCGTATTCCTCGTGCTAGTAGTGGCTGGTATTTATTGTGAACTACTAAAACGTAGTACATCAGTTTGCCTATCAGCGCTACATGTTTAAGCAGCATACTGGTGCAGGTAATAAAATATGCGCCGCATCATGGTAGCAAATTGTGAGCGATAATGATCACATTGTGACTTACCACTGCACCGCTATCTTTTTGCTCTCTTCGATTGATAATTCTTTTATCCGCTAGATACAGTGCATTTTTTAATGTTAGCTTTATCTCGCAAAACCCACAGGCAGAGGAACTTATTCGGCTCGCGAAGTCGGAAGGCCGAAGTTCCCGACGACATCACGTCTCAGTTTTGAAGTCGCCGAAATCCCAGCTGCTGTGTGTTTTGCACACGTATACATGTTGAAAACACCATTTGCGTCCGCTCGTTGCTCGCTCGATCAGGCGGACGGGGTGGACCAAACTCGTGTTTGTCACACAACTTGATCCACTTACTCAGGTCAAGTCACATTTCGGCCGTGTGAAACAGTCGAATCGAGACTCTCAGTCGAAAAGCAGACGCCAAAGCGCAAGAAACAAGTCGGAGCCCCCTGAAGAGCTTCCGCTGCCTCTCGAGTCCCCGCAATCGCCTGCAACTCTCCGCAGGCTCCTCGTGCACCCTCAGTGTCAATTAAAGCTTTAAACGCATTGGCCCGCGAGAGATCTGCATTGCCCACTCCATTCCGGTGCTACTTTTATCACGTACAAGAGGTCGAGTGGAATCTCATTCGTCCGCCGTCGACTGCAACGCCTCTAGCCATTGGCAGCAACGTACAAGCTGCTTGGGCGTGCTGTAGACCTACTAGAAGTCATCAGTCATGTCGACAATCATGGTGGAACAACCCCGCCAATCAGGGATGGCTACACCCGCTGGCTCCACCTCTGCAGTCAAGTCGCAGACCTCGAGTGCGAATGGGACCAAGGAGCCTGCATCCAACGCGTCACCTGAACCCATGGACGTCGATATGGACCAGCGAGAAGTAGAGAACACGTCAGCGAATAGCACCAACGTGGTGGTCAATGGGAAGACGAAAACGATGGAGTTGTCCACTACCAAACGATATGTGGAAAGCGCCTCCGAGACGTCCAGGAAACTGGTGGAACAGGCCAAACGCCGTCTGCAGATCCAAATGCAGTTCGTCGAGAACGCAAGACGAAAGATCTTGGACGAGACACATCCAGACATGGCAGAGAGACTGCAAGCCCTTGTGGAGGAGCGCGACCGACTGCTTCATTTAGCGAAGCAAAGGAGTGAGTATTTCCAACACAGCACCACCGTGATCTTCGACTACGAGTGTGACGAGGCCAACTCGGAGTACGAACTAAACTGCGAGAAGCTACGGCAAGATATGCTGGAAGAAATCCACCACGAGATGGAGATCCTCCACGACCAGCGCAAAGGAGGCCACAGCTATGGTAAGAAACAGGATTTCTATTTTGTTTTAATCAATTTCTAACGTTTCTTACATGAAGCCCGCACTACGACCCGCAAGACACGTAGTACCCGGAATAAAACCGATTCGGACTCGGGGTTCGTTCTAGACACGGCGCAGAAGATCAAGAAACGCGCTGGTGGCTATGTGTTCCAGCCGCTAGAGAACAAGCTGGGTCAATTGGAGATTGACCACGATGTGCGAGAACTCACGACTGTTTATGAGGCAACCAAGAAGCGACGAATGGAGTTCGATACCGGTATATACCTACAACAGTCGTCTCATATTGTTGCTTCGAATACTGATGAGGTTTTTTGGAATACCGGTACATTGCAGATCGTGACGTCACGTCGGTGGCCAAGTATTACCGGAATAAGTTCTTATACCGAGACTGGATCTTTCAAGAGGGAGATGAGGTATATGTGCTCAATTACCCAGCGTCCAGTGAATACGCTGCAGTTATCTGCGGTATCACGTCCACGGAACTCCTGGTTCTGTCGGAGAAGGGCAAATACTACCGCTTGGTCATCATGGACATCCGACAGGGTCGAGTGGTGCTCACCACGCTGTCATCAGAGCAGGCTGCCTCCCGAGACGATCTCGGCGACGCAAGTCCATAGACACACCGCTATTAGTTGCCGGTGTCGCGCTTGTTCTTGTCTCGCCTTGTGTCTTAATTTTGCTTATCCAACAACTACTTGAAACAACTTTTGCGATGCTATTAAAGTCACCTTTAACGAGCTCAGATACGTTGATATCTCTCAGCTTACAGCACTCCTTATGTTCTATTCGGACTGTAGACTGCATCTCGGTACGTAATAACCTTTAGGACACCGTTTACTGACCCGCAGCAGCTTCCTTTGCCCGTTTGTCAGCGAGGTTTTTGGCCGTCTTCTTCCGCTCCCTAACGGCTTGCTTCTCGGCGTACATTTCAGGCACCTCAAGACCTACACGACGCGCCGAGGCATTGACGATCTCTTGTCCTGTGAGTTTCTTCTCCACGCCAGCATCGAGAGCCCACAAATACTGCAAAATAATACGCATAGAGGTTTTTTTTAGTCCATTCCTTTTGACTCAAGACTTGCAATTGACACACGTACACGCTGCTCCTCGACGCCCTGCAGCAACATCAAGTAGTCACTGGCCTCGGCACGAAATGCGCGCATTTTGGCGCGGTCATTCTCGTGTTGCCGCGATCGGTACTACAAGAACGAACGATGTTGTAGTGTCAGATATTGTGCGGCGGAGAGCGATGTTGCTCGAAAAGCCGAACCTGTGCGAGGATCTGTTGCGAAAATTTGCACTCGCGGATGGATTCCTGCGATCCGCGCGCGCGCGTCACGCGCAGCAGCGAGCGCAGGTTCTTCAGCACGTCAAGCTTCGAGCCAATGCGCACACCTCTCGCCATTGTGATGTTTGGTGTCGAGCTTTGAGCAGGTAAATATGGTGTGGTAGACGTAATCACTGTGGCTGACGTAAATGGAGTGGTGAACGTATCAAATGTATGATTGGTCAATTTTCGCCAATCGGGACGGGATCTGATTACGAAAGCATGCATTGCAGCTACGATTCGTAGACTCCACTCCATTCTACAAGCTGCAGTCACCTCCTCACATCTCTAAACTTTATTCATCATGGCAACGGGAACCACAACATCTGCAACCAGCGGCACCAAACCGACCACGAACAATTTAGGCACCTCGACCATCGAAGAAGCGCTTGAAACCATTCGCCAGGGAGGGTTCGTTGTCGTCATGGACAACGAAGACCGTGAGAATGAAGGCGATCTGATTGCTGCTGCTGAATTCGCAACGGAGGAGCGCGTCGCCTTCATGCTACGTCATAGCACGGGAATCGTATGTGTGCCAGCTCTACCTTCTCGTCTTGACGAGCTGCAGCTTCCGCTTTATGGTGGCGAACAATACTGAGGCCCACAAGTGCAAATTTGCCATCACCGTCGACCTGAAAGAAGGCAACTCGACGGGTGTCTCCGCTGCTGATCGCTCTCGCACGATTCGTGCATTGGCGGACGCAAAGATCGGCCCCACCGCTTTCAACCGCCCTGGACACATTTTCCCATTACTAGCGCAAGAAGGTGGCGTAATGGTGCGTGCTGGCCATACGGAGGCTGCAATTGACCTCGCCAGATTGGCTGGAGTCAAGCCTGTAGGCTACTTGTGCGAGATCATGGGGGATGATGGACGTATGCTACGTTGTCCGCAGCTCCAGGAGTTCTCCAAGACGCCCAGTCTGCCGCTTGTCACGATCTCGGACTTAATTCGCTTTCGTGTCCGCACAGAGACGCTAGTTGAGCGAACTAAAGCCAAAGCCACTACAATCTCCACTCCTTTCGGCGAGTTCTCGTCGCTAGAATACAAGTCACTTGTCCAGGAAGACCAAACGTATCATGCGCTTGTATTTGGCAATGTGAGCGGTCAGAAGAATGTGCCTGTGTCCTAGTGGAAGACGGGCTCAACGCCGGCTTGCAAGCACAGTAAGCTCAGAGATTCATGGCTAAGTGCGGCAGTGGTGTGCTCGTCTACATCCATGGCTCGGCTCAACTACTGCAGATCAGTGGCGAGTTGATGGCACGCCAAAGTATCTTCGGCATGGCGATGCAGATCGTGCGTGACTTGAAAGTTGACTCGGTGCGTTTGCTGGCAGCGACGGAGTCCAGTCTAGATACAAATGGCTTTGGCATTGAGATTGCCAGCACCGAGCGTCTGGCAACAGCGTAGGCGAGGAGATAGACCACAGAAAATACACTTCTGTAATATCAAAGTTGTTTAAACAGCACCTATACTGATCAAAGATTGACCATTGGTCATCAGCTTCAGGTTCGTGAACAAGTTGACCTCCACGTTGCTGTTTGCGTCAACTTTACGCGCCACGTCACTCCGTGTTTATCATTGGTCGAAAAAAAATGGAAACGTATTTTGTGTCAAGCAACACGAAAGATACTTCGAGGTAGTCGCTAGCAGATGAGCTGCACTTGGTTGTACGTCGACGCGTTAGTCTTGAGCAGTCGGCGGGCCTCCTCATCTACCTCGGTGTCGTCCAGTTCGTTCAGCGCCTCGTCAGGCACGTCCATACTGAAACGCTTCCGGAACTGTGAGCCATAGATCCGTTGCAGCTCGCCCACTGGTAAAAGCCCATCCGGCACCTGGAAGCACAGCGGTGTCCAACTGTGTTCGAAGTGGAAAAACACTAGAGTCGAAATGATCAATCCCAGCACAACGTCCACCGTGTAGTGCTTGCGGCCAGCGATGCACAGCGCCGCCAAGATCGTAAGGTACGCCATGCCACACGCCCAGCGGATCTTCGAGGCGGTGCGGCCAGCGAAATTGCGATCCAGAGTCCGTAGATACAGCAGTACGGCCGAGATTGTATAGGCCATGTGCCCCGAAAAGATAAGGTCACCACAAGAGTTGTAGTTGCCGTAAATGGGTCCGACGCGAGTGACAATATCGATCCACGTGGTAGGAGGGAAGTAGTCGGAGCTGCCGGCGCGGCAGTGAGGTGCAGGGCCAGGCAGCGACGTCATGGATACCGTCAACATGCGGAGGAAATAGCAGATAGTGGCAATGCGGAAAAAAGACGACACGATGCGGCAGCGGTTGGGGCGTGTCATGAAAATTGTCTGCAAGAGGAACATGACAGGCACACCGGCGGTCAGGATGTCACTCACAGGCCGCCACTTGGAGTGGAGACCTTGCTCTGGTATCAGCATAAACCCCAGGTCCTTGAGCGGCATCGTGGCGGGCACGTGCAGGTAGAAAGCAATGTTGACGGAGAAGACCATGACGAGAGACATGGCTACGAAGATCTCAGCGTGGTCCATCATGCCGCGTAGGTGGATGTCGACGCGTGAGCGCACGAGGCGCCGCACGTAGATGAAAGTACCGGCAAAAAGCAGCCAGATGCCTCCCCATGTAGCGCGGGAGCGGTGCTGGTCGGGCTCGATGATGAACTTGAAAAAAGTGACCCAAACCATGACGCCGAGACCCACGTCGGCCACCATGTAAAGTGCGAACAGCACGAAGCTCGCCACCTCACGGTAGTCAACCGAGTCACACCAGTGTCTAGGGCTTCGACCTCCTCCTCCGACAGACACCGGCGTACTATTAATATCGGCCCTTGATACCATGTTCTTCTCGTCCAATGAGCCCCAAGTGCCTACGGGGCCCGACATTTTCCGCTTGGTACGGAACAGATTCGACTGCGCGAAGGGCAGGTACGACGTCATCGCGCTCTTTCTGTCTACCCAGGCGTTGCAAGTGGTTATCGAGACGGGTTGACGGTCGTCAGGGACAACAAAGCGCGGAGAATTACACCGCTGACGCTCGGCAGTTCAAATGCTGGAAAAATGGCTGCCTACGGAAATAACCGTCCCGGCCTTTGGTCAAAAAGAGAAATTTGTAATCAGAGCGACGGACTCCGTGGGATAGGGTGTGAAATTCACACTGTGAATTTGACCAATCGGACCTCAGCTTTGCACCAATCACAATGGACCTAGTCAATGATATAATCCTTCTCTACGTCATCCAGGTTTTGACTTTTTCGTTTTATTAAACAAATGATTTCATTTAAACCTTTCATAATGCTTTTGCAAATAGAACGCAATCTCTTCCCTGCCACGCCAGATTACGATTGCTTCCATTCCTCACGCCCGCCTGGCATCTCGTCCGGCATTGCTACATCGGCTTCAAGCCTAAGTCTTTATCTTCCAATATGGCCACTGGCACCTCGAACGGCGTACCCTCCACCAAGAATGCCGGCACGACCTCCATCGAGGAGGCGCTTGACACTATTCGTAAGGGCGGCTTTGTCGTCGTCATGGACAATGAGGACCGCGAGAACGAGGGCGACCTCATCGCCGCCGCCGAGTTCGCCACAGAGGAACGCGTCGCCTTCATGCTGCGCCACTCGACGGGCATCGTGTGTGTCCCCGCACTTGCTGACCGTATCGACGATCTGCAGCTCCCTCTAATGGTGGAGAATAACACGGAGGTGCACAAATGCAAGTTCACAGTGACTGTGGATCTCAAAGAGGGCAACTCAACGGGCGTCTCAGCTGCTGACAGAGCGCGTACGATTCGTGCATTGGCCGACCCGGAAGTGGGTCCTTCAGCGTTTAACCGTCCCGGTCACATCTTCCCTCTATTGGCTCAGAACGGAGGCGTCATGGTGCGTGCCGGCCACACTGAAGCTGCCACAGACTTGGCACGTCTGGCTGGCGTCAAACCCGTTGGCTACATTTGCGAAATGAACGACGAGAATGGACGAATGTTGCGTCGTCCGCAATTGCAAGAGTTCTCAAAGAAATTCGACGTTCCTCTGATCACCATTTCGGATCTAATTCGCTATCGTTCGCGAACGGAGACGTTGGTGCAACGTATAGACGAACAGAGTAAGGTCACTACTCCACTTGGAGAGTTCGCCAGCGTGGCGTACAAGTCACTGGTACAGGAGAATCAAACGTACCATGCGCTTGTGTATGGCGACGTGGACGGCAAGGACGTGCTTGTATTCCTGGTCGAAGACGGCTTTGAAGCGAGTCTGCAAGCTCAATGGGCGCAGAAGTTTGTGGCTACGCACGGCTACGGTGTCCTGATCTACATCCACGGCTCGGAGCAGCTTCTGCAGATTAGTGGCGAACTAATGGCTCGTCAGAGCATCTTCGGTATGGCGATGCAGATCGCACGCGACTTGAAGGTGAGCTCGGTTCGGTTGCTGTCGACGACGGAGGCGAGTTTTGACCCTCATGGCTTTGGTGTTGAGATCTCAAGCACTGAAGCTCTTGTGACAGCGTAGATAGATAGCACTGTGATTTGATAGAAAATACCATGGCGCTGTGAACTACAGTGAACATGTAAAGTCAGGGGCTGATAGTACGGTAACCACGATATTTTTGATAGCAGTAGTACTATTTTCGAAATTATAAATCAAAAGAAATAAAAAATTATAAGAACTTTTGAAAACAATTAGCTTAAAGATTTGAGAAATATTAGATACTGATATTTTATGATTTGTTTCCCTCTTAAGTACGTTTCTTGCCCTTTCCCTCTAACCGAGGGCTCACAAAAGAACTCTTTCGGTCAGGTTGAAGAACAGTTTTTAGACTGACGAGTAGACAAAGTGGGAAACTGCAAACGGTGGTTGCAGTTGTTTAATGTCTATAGAGCGAAATCAAGGTATTTGTTCTTGCTCTCTACCAATAGCCTCGTCCACATCGTGCGTCTAATAAACCTGCAGCCTGTAACGCTAGATTAATGCGCTCAGCAGTGCCAACACACGACGCCAACCTTGCCGTCACTCTCACAATTGTCCGCTGATTTGTAATACAGTATGACTATTATAATTAATCGTATTACTAATACTTCAGCTAACGACAATTAAAAAAAAGTTTACGCAATCTTAAAAAAATCGTTTTAAATAATATCAAGTTGATTTTTTTTGGTACCTGTAATATCATTTTGTCTCTGAAAATCATATTAGGTGATATGTTTTATATTAATTGGTCAACAGGAGATATTTTTACTACATTAACTTCACCGATAATGGAGTTGCCATTAGCCCCTGATCTTACTACAGTGGTAAAAGTTTATATTAAGCTGATTTCTAAATATCATTTCGTCTCACAAGAAAATATTAGGTGAATTAGTTTTATTAGCTGGTCTACCAGGTGATATTATCACTATATTAACTTTACCGAGTCTTCAAGTACTACGGTTTCGTCGTGCTCTTTTATCAAAAATTTCAATTCGAAATGATAACTTGATTGTACAGAATGTGCTTCTTTATTGTAAAAGTTTCCGGGATTAGCAATCTTTCTCTAAGAAAATAGAGTTTCGACTCTAATCCATTCAATTACGGGGAACTTGACGGTACGCCTTCTGTTTAGCGCGGGAGCGCACGAACAGCAAGTAGCCCCCCACAGCTGCAACAGGAAGGATATACCACGCGAACAGCGTCACAGGCGGAGCGCTGACACCTTGGAGACCGTCCTTGGGCTTCGTCTTCGTGTCTGCAACAAGATCCAAAGTGTTGGCTGCGTTCTTGATACCGAGCTCCGCATCCTTCTGTCGGTATTCATCACCGCCTTCAGGCTCGACAGCGGTCGGGCCCGTCGTCTTTGGAGTCGTTTCCACCTCTTTAGGCGCTTCTGTCTCTTGTTGCTTGACAGCAGGAGCTTCCGGTACTTTACGTAGCACCGCAGCTGTCATCATCGGTGCTGTAGCCGCTACATTAACCAAAGGAACGCTAACGTCACGGTAACCGTACGTTCTGCTCATCCACTTGTCTACTTCGACCATTTCCCACGCCACGTCCGTGCCACAAGTGGGACAAACTTCAGGTTTGGGCCAAATAGGGTGATGCAGACGTTTGTTAACCGAGTTGTGTTGCTCCCAGAGCCAACGACGCAGTGCTAGGGGTTTATCCTCTGCGTCTTTGATCTTCTTGACTGCTTCGATCGTATTCTCCTTTAAGAAATGGTCCCGACAGTTCACACAGCCGAAGAAATGTTTCATGAAGCGACGGATCGAAGCCACCACAGATACCAGCAGCTCAGCACTGCGTGTACCGGTTTCAGGAGGGTTCATCGTCAGCATGTGGAACATGTTCCATTGGCCACATGTATACAAGGCACAGGCGCGATAAGTGGCCCCTTGGCCGAGGAACAAATTGTCCAATCGCTGCCATTCCGGAACGGTAATACCGGTAAAATCGAAACGTTCTTCCTCGGCTTTAAAGACAGCGACCGAGCCTTCTTGCCACTCCTTGACGATGGCATCCCACGTGTCAAAGTCCAGCAACTCCTTCGTCTTGACCTTCTCATACAAAGGTCGAATAACCTTCCGGTTGATGGCTCCTGGGAAGGTCTCGGACACCATTTTGAGCCAGCCTTTCAGTGCGTCAAACTCCTCGTCATCCATCACGTCACTGGCCATAAACGCGCCCTGCTTGAGACCGAACACGAAGGCCGACGCGGCGTCCTGGATACGTGTCGTCTGGTTCATTGAGAGCGTGGATTCCTCCCAAATCGCAGGCTTGGGGGTCGCAGTGATCGTTGGCGGCTCTTTGCCCTGGGATGCAGCCATGCTGCTAGCTGTTTTCTTGTCTTCTTCCTCTTTCTTCTTTTTTTCCTCTTCCTCCTTGGCTTTCTGTTCGGGAGACACGTACCCAGGCGGCCACGTGCCTGTCTCGTTGAAGGCAGCTTCTGCGAACACACTGTCGACGTAATCTTTCACTTCTTGAACCGTGTGCGTGCCGATGATGCGCTTGTTCTCCTTCTTGGGGTTCTTCTTGTCAAAGTTAAGCGTCATTAGAGTCGGGAATCCAGTGATACCCACGCGACGACACTTGACGTGGTCCATACAGCTCAATGCTCCGACATAAATGTTGCCCTTTGCCTTGTAGTAGGCCGCCAATTCGAAGTAAGCGGGCGCGAAGTGCTTGCAGTGCGGGCAGCTGCATCACAACGACGTAATTCGGTCAGTTCTCGCTGTATTTCGACGATAAAAGCGCGGTAGACAGCTAGAGGGGTGTTATTTAACGTACAAAGGATGATAGAAGTCGACAATCCACGGCTTGTCCGTCTTGGTCATGTGCTCGTCCCAGTTCTTGTCCGTCAGGTACGTGATGTTGGGGTGGCCATCGGGGAAGAGCGGCTCGCCCTTGTCCTTGGGGTCGACGGCAGCACCCGAGACGGAGCCGGAAGACGTCAGCAGCGCCGCGGCCGACGCCAACGCCCACAGTAGCTGCATTCTACCAGTCAGAGGAGAGCACGCGGGGCGCTTGAACTGCCAAGTGGTAGAGTGACACGGCGAAACGGAGGAGCTCTTAGACCAGATGGTTTGTTATGGAGGTCGGTAATTGCAGTGATTGTATCTTTAGAGCCGGATAACGGTCGATTAGTTTCTGATGAATAGAAAGTAAGAGGTTTACTGACCTGTCAGTTGATGTGGTTCACATAAATGAGAGAGGCTGATGCTCTGTCAGCATTTTGAAAGGAGTTCGGTTCTTCTCTAATCAAATGGAGGAATCGCTTCTTTTTCCAAGCTTTCATTGTTACCTATTGCTGTTTATCTTGGGGATGATTTAACGTAGGTTAGATAATTTATTATTTATCTGATCAATGAGCACCACCATGTATTAATATCACCGTGAGCTAAATGCAGCAAAAACACTTCACAGTTAGTTAGCTACATGCTGGGTGATCAACTTTTGGCTATGGTGTGTCAGGCAGCGGCCAAATATCCCAGCGTACAGGCAGGCAGACTTTAATCACCGATAGAAGTGTAAGCCAGATCATTGCCATGAAACGCGTGCGCTACAGAACGAGAAAGAGACCAATGAACCCCGAAGTGGCGGTTGTAAGAAACAAGAAAGATCAAAACACCTGTCTTAACCTATATAGAAAGGACCAAGACGCACGCGACAACCATTGACGCCGTTGGCGTTCACATAGATCGACTGACGTTATACGCAGTTGCTACTGTCAGGGACGAAAGTCCCATCTGAGTTCTGACAGCCGCAGTTTCCGGTGGTAGGGTCCTTGACGCAACCAGCGCCTTCCCCGCTGTCCGTGCCATTTCCACTGCATATACGCGAGAGAAGAGTTAATCTCAAAAAAAATCAAGGTGGAAAGAGGACAGAACGTTTACCTCCAGAAGAACATCCAGCAGCCGTCGTTGTCCTCCATTTGGTCCAAGGTGGGCGGGTCGCACGTGTAGGCCGAACAGGTCCCGTAAGGGTAGCCATTATTACCGTCGTACTGATGGTCGGTCACGAAGACGGCAAAGGTCTGTGTCTCAGAGGTTCGGGTGTTGTGCGAGCATTCAGCAGCCTGGATGGCTGTGGATACTTTGGTCACGTCGCAGTTATAAGTGCTCGGACACTTTCCATTAGTGTTGGAGCTGGCCGGATCCAGTGTCGCGGTAACGAGAGTGGGGGTGGCAAGGAGGGCGAGAGCGAAGGTGAAGTGCATCTTGCTACCGAAAAAGCAATTAGTTGATCGGTTGTTGGTATCAGGGAAAAATGAAAAATGCTAGAGTGTGTCTGATTTCCAGTTCGTTTCCGACTGTCGACTGCATGTGCTGATTTCCAGCACCCTGACCGTCAACCAACCGATCTTTACATGCAGAAAGAGTAGCGTTCGAGTGGTTCGTCCTTGTTGAGGACCATATATGTATCCAGATGGCTGCTCGCCCTCGCTGTTTGCTGTCCAAACATTGAACATTGAATAAAGAGAAGTTTCTTGTAACTATGGCCATAATTCGAGCCTGAGGCACCAGACACGTCCAGGATACAGACAGTAGGTTTCCTTCAGCTTCATTCCTTTTAACTTGAAGTCATGGAGTTAAGAGAGCTGGTCAACCGATGTATTTAGGTACAGTATGTAAAATGAGCATATTTTATTAGAATCTTATTCCAAGTGCCGACTGCTGTTCTACCACACGATGTTGTTTTTCTCTCTATTCAAGAGCAGCATGCCAGACCAGTGCTTAAGCTAAGAAAATATGCATTACGCAACTACTGTCCTTGTAGTTTTATACCAGTACTGTAACAGTTAATCCATTTCTTAAACGGTCTAAAAAACATTTATATTTTTTTAAATAAATACTTTGTTGTAAATGCCAAATGTTTTGAAAATAAAGCATTTTATAACGAAATTGTTTTTTTATAATAGTACCGTTATCAATTTTTAAACCAAGTGTTTGTTTTGCACAGAAAAAGCATAACCATGAACAAACGCAAGCATGATGAGGAGGCCGTCATGCCGTCCACCTCTAAACTGTCCAAGCAGCGCAAGCAGTTGAAGAAGATCCCAAAGCAGCAGCGCGTAGGAAACTTTAGGAGGTGCGTATAAGCCGTCCATTCCAGAGCCATTCCTTTCGTGTCCGCTTACATGTTGTTGACACAGTTATTACACGTATCGACTCGGTCAAAAGCACCAGGGCGAACTGGAGGACGATCCGCGTCTCTCTGCACTAGACAAAAGCTGGTTTGAAGGCAAACGTGGGATGGATATCGGCTGTAACTCCGGGGAATTTACAATTACCATCGCTAAACGACTAGAGCCAAGTTATCTGCTTGGAGTTGACGTGGATCCGCAGCTCGTTTCGAGAGCTAGAGGGCATTTGAAGGACATTCTACTACAGAATCAAATCGAAAAGGCCTTTGTTAAGATTCCAGCAGTTAAAGCCACTGCCACGAGCGAGGAGGGAGCAACAAAGTCTCCAGTGGACATCAAGGGTGAAGGAAAGGAGACTGTGAAGGATGGCGAAGAAGGCACCAAGAAGACAGACGCAAACGACGCGTTTGCCACCGAAATGCCGCTGTCTTTTAAGCTGTGGAAGCCGTCGATGCAAACACAAGCTGCGGTACCCCGTGCCATTGGCAAAGCTGCAGTCGGGTACGTTAGTCCTGTGATTGGTTAGAAATCCCTGCTAACAAATTCTATGTGATGGTAATGCAGCTCCAAGTTCCCTTTGAACGTGATATTCAAGCGAGAGGATATCGTATCCGATGCTCATGCCGGCAAAGACTACGACTTCATCACGTGGTATGTTCCAGATTTTCACTGTGAAGATGACATTCTAATGTCAAATTTCGTTGTTGTGTGCAGCTTTAGTGTCACAAAGTGGATCCACCTTTTCCACGGTGACGAAGGCATCAAGAAAGTGTTCGCTAAGATTTACGAGCTGTTGACACCTGGTGGTCGTCTCATTCTCGAGCCACAGCCGTGGAAATCATATCACAAGCGGAAATTTACGTCGGAGGTGACTGCCGCAAACTACCCCAAGATCCAGCTACGCCCCAAGGACTTCCCCAAGCATCTCGTGGAATCCGTCGGCTTCCGTACTTGCAAGTTTCTAGAAGTCTGTCAAACATCCTCCAAGGGTTTCCGGCGACCAGTCTACGTTGCTCAGAAATGAGCTAAGGAATAAATACCGACGAGGGCTTTGTCATCACTTACCACGTGTTTGTCTTCGAGCATGCGTCTATTAAGACTCGTCCAAGGCCGGAACTTAACAATGGTCTATCTGGGACCACCAACGAGGGCGAATAACCTGCCATACCGCAGGCAAGAGGCCGCAGTAGTCTTCCGTTCGAGCGCCTCAAAAGTAGCAACTTGGGTTTCTGCCGAGGCCTGACTACAGCTCCAATATCCACCTTGACGCCGCATAAGTCTCAAAATCCACCTCTCCGTTCTTGAGCTATAGTTTAGTCGCATTAAACGTCATTAAATTAGCAACAAGGAATCATTCCCAGGAGCTTTTGAACAGCCTCGTACCCTTCCGGATGATCGCAGCAGCTTGTCCTCTCGGTGCGCCACCGCCAACTCCTCCTTGTCCCAGTGTCGGTATGGAACCCTTGTGTTTCTTCCACATTTTGACTCGTTTAAACATCGGCGCGTGTTTCAACGTGCTGTTTCGACAAGAGCAACAGAATAATACCAATTCGGAAGGTCAAGGCAACTAGTGAATGGAGATCCTATCCTAGCAAAATATACACGGCAATATCAGGTTGTAAAGGATATATATCTGGAAACACGATGAAGAGGATCTGGCTGCCGCGCAGATAGACCTGCTCCACTTGGCTGGTGTTGCCGTTGATGTCGGTGCGCACCGCGTCCTTCATAACGCAGTTCATGTTGTCCTCCGTCTCATCCAGCAACCCGCGGTACGTCTCTCCTGTCTTCATCTCAATAGACACGATCGTGCCCTCGCCGTCATGCAGCAAGATCGTCGGGATGCCGACGCCGCGCTTGCCCGTCACCGCCATCGCGGAGAGTTTTGTTCAAAAATGACAGCATTTCGGATAGCAAGGACTCGCTTAAGTACGTAAAATGATTCGAGCCAATCAAATGATGACATCGGTAAAAAAAAAAAAAATCTACAGTAGTAAAAATTAAACCGATGAGCTAACAGTAAATTGCCGCTAAATTATCGCACGTTTTATTATGGGATCGCTATCACTACCAAGACACCTAAAGCCAAGCCAGCAACAGCATGCGCGTTGGATAGCAGAGCGCAGATAGAGCAGAAGCGACCCCTCGGCTGGAAGACGCCGCTTAACGGTACGACTTCTGGAAGCGAGCGCGAGCGCTGCCACCACCGAACTTCTTGGCCTCGCAGCGACGGGGGTCGGCGACCAGAAGGGTACGGTCGTAGGCGAGCAGGATGTCCTTGATCTCCTTCTTGGAGGCCTCGTCAACGTCTGTACGGCAGCAATAACGACAAATATCAGCATCTGAACAACAGGCAGCTTCAATGTCACCAAAGACTTACACTTCTGGTAGTAAGCGACAATGGCCTTGGCGATAGCCTGACGGATCGCGTAGATCTGAGCGGTGTGACCACCACCCTTCACGCGGATGCGGATGTCCACCTGAAGTTTTCCAAACGAACAACACGTCAGCGCACCATATCGATCGTCAGGTAGGGAGGGGGAGTGCAAGCCAGTTGCGACAGCATGGTATTTACACGACGGTAAACAGAGCATACACACAGATTATTTGGGTGGTGGGAGTGCTTTTCACAGCAGAGCGTGTGCGTTGTGGTGGGTGGACACTCAAGACCAGAGCATAGGCTACACGCGGTCCGTGGGGTGACATTCGAGCAAAGCGTAGAGCACCCCGTGAGTGTTCATGGTTTAATCGATATCCAATGACGCGTTCATCCGTCCATGTCAATACCAAAGCTGTCGCGCGTAGCCCGCGAGAGAAGAGGGAATTCATCGTACGTTGGCAAAACGCTGCTGGCCGAGCAGGAGCACGGGCTCATAGGTCTTGACGCGCAGGATCTCGGGCTCCACGAGCTCGATGGGCGTGCCGTTGACCTTGATAAGGCCGTGGCCGCGCTTGCAGTAAGCGACAGCCGTAGCGTTCTTCTTGCGGCCGAAGACCTGCACCGATTCAATCTTGCCCTCCATTTCTGATGCCTGTGCGAAAATTAGCAATGCTGGCGAGGATAAGAGCTCCCCAGCACGCGAACCAACCAATGCCCCAGCAATTTTTCCACCAATCTTCATAAAGTAGATTTATTACTGGACAAAAAAACAGAGGGTTTATGAAATATGTCGTTTGATAGGAGCATCACCGCTACACCAGTGAACCTCGCACAAGGCATCTCGTGACACCACAGCAACCATGCGCCAGCTTACCGACGATGAGATGACGACGGTGTTCGAGAAGATCAGCAAGTACATTGGCCGCAATGTGCAGCACCTGGTGACGCGTCCTGATGAGAAGTACTGCTTCCGTCTGCATGGCAACATCGTGTACTATTGCAGCGAAAAGCTCATGCGCCAGTCCACCAACGTTGGCACGGACGAGCTGCTGAGCATTGGTACGGCCGTGGGTAAGCTCACCAAGACCAAGAAGTTCCACCTGCGCATCACCTTCCTGGATTACCTGGCTCAATATGCCAAGTACAAGGTCTGGATCAAGCCTAACTCGGAGATGTCCTTCCTGTATGGCAACAATGTCGTCAAGTCCGGTCTAGGTCGTATCACGGAGGGCACGCCGCAATACGCTGGTGTAGTCGTGTATAGCATGAACGATATCCCGCTGGGCTTCGGTATCGCAGCGCAGGCAACAGAGCTGTGCAAAGACCTGGAACCCACGGCTTACGTGGTGCTGCACCAAGCAGACATCGGCGAGTACCTGCGCGTTGAAGACGAAATGTTTTAAAGAAGCTCTCCGGCGGATGGGTCTCCTTTTAGACTTCGTGCGTCATCTACATATATAATAGACTTTTCACGCATATTTGTGCTTCCACAGTGTTTCATTTATTGCGTGCAACTTGGCGTAGTATGGTAGTGTTTACTCTATTGCTTCACAAGTGTCACGGGTGATCACTCGTCCAGCAGCATGGCTTTCATAGTGCTCTGGATCTGCTCGTAAGCAGCAAAAATGATGGCGCCAGTGGGCATCACCTTGAGGATATTCGCTGACAAGCCCTTGACCAAACCGACGTAGCCTTCGTGTCGGATGATCTTCACCGTACAGTCCCAAGTGCCTGTGTACTTGTTCGCTGAAGGTCCTCCTTGCTGCAGACGAGCTTTAATCACCTGGTAAGGATACGTAGCTGTGGATGCAATGGACTGTGCCAGAGCACCCATCACCAGCGTCGGAATCACGTCCATCTCGGGGCTCCAGTGTGTCAGATACAGACCCCTAAGACGCTCGTATGCTACAAATTTGAGCGCTCCGTTGGTCGTGAGGAATAGCGCTGGGATCATACCTTTATACAGTGCTAAAACACCTTCTTGTGCTACAATCCGCCGAAAAGCATCTACACAGTAGCGATCAATTACACAATTAGACTCAGCACACATTCTCCTTGGGCTTGTGACGCACCTGATACGCTTCGATATGGTATATTCTCGACCAATTTCTTTGTTGCATCTTTGCCAGTGACACTTGCTTGTAGTCGTTTGTTACTTTGTACTTGCATGCGGATCTTGATGAGCCAAATGGGATTCGTCAGCGGCACACAGATCATTCCGGCCTCAATGCCCGAGAAGAAGTGCTGCCACGAGCCCTGGATCCAACCTTCGTCCGCCATACGAGCGTAGCGTTCTTTCGCGTTCTGGTACACGAGCATGTAGATACCCCACGATAGCGTTGCGCCGTAAAGTGCCGGGCTCATACCGCGAAACAGCGCGCGCACACCTTCTTCCGCCACAATGGAGCGGAACGCGTGTCCTAACGAGCGGTAGGCATGTGCGGACTTCTCGTGCACTTGGTAGCGCACCTTCACCAGGTCGAGTGGGTACAGCAGCACGGTGGACACAGCGCCGGCACCCAGCCCCGCAGTCGTGTGGATCACACTGCGCCATTGTTCCTCGGCGAGCATTTCCTTAAGCGTCATTGTCGTTGCCACGGGAGACTCGGAACTGAGTCCTTGGCCAACAAAAAACGCGTAAACGTATGTGATTAGATGAGTTCAGTTATGTGTTTCTAGAGGTTCAACTTTACCATACAGAGTGATGGTCATTTTGCAATCCGCGTGCGGAATTCAGGTTGAAGATGGCGAGGAAGCGTAGAGACCGCGGCGCGCAGTTTATTAGAAGCAACTTGGAGCTATTGGGCTTCGGAACGTGTCGAGACGCGCTGGTGCAGGCTGTCAAGGAGCTGTTCGAGAATGGTGCGCTTAAGATTAATTACACATGATACAGTGAAGCAAGAAATAACCAAAAGACTTCGTACGACATCAGCACTAGACGCCACGCAGGCATTAAGCTCTGAGGATTCGTGGGACGACGCACCGCTCGAGCTGTTGCGAGTCAATGTCAAGTTGAATGAAGATACGGGCAGCATTGACATCGTGTGCGCGGATACGGGCTCGGGCATACATGCGCACCAGGTTAAATTGCTGTGCTGTAGCGCATTCGAGACAACGAAGACTCGTTTAAACGGTGGAGGAGCATGTACTAGCGGCAAATATGGTGTGGTAGCGCGCTTGGTCGCGTCAATGGGGCTTCAAGAGCTCAGTGTATGAGTGTTGACTATGCAGGTGTTGGGCTGAAGGCAGCGATGCTATACAGTCAGATACATGCAAGTGACGCATGTTTGAAGATCACGACGACTTCAAAGTCCGATGGGATTCTACACGTACAACTTCGCATTGACCCAGACTCAGAGGAGACTGCTGTCGTGAAGAAAGTGGCTCATTTCGTCGTGGATGAAAACCATCAGCACTTTTCCGGTACGGAGATGCGGTTAGCTGTCCCTTGTCCAGAGGATACATTGGAGGTCGAGCGTGCTGCAGACATGCTAGCTTTGTACTTCCAAACTTTGCGGTACACCGCTCCTCCGTTTGTTAGTGTACAATTCAATTTTGATGTTGGAGAGGTCAGCACCAGCGTCGAATGTCGCCACAAGGAGGAGCCACTCGACCGGTTCGCTGCTGACCTGCGAGCAAGGGCGGACGACATCCTGTACGCGGTCCACGACGATGAATTTGCTTCCATCAGCTGCGCCGCGCTGATGCTTGGGGACACAAAGCCAGGTGGACGGAGCGACATTGAGGTCTGCTTGCTTCGCTTTGCAAACCACACCCCGCTGGTCAATAGTGAAGACTTCTTCCTTTGCGGTATCACCAAGGGAGTCTGCTCCTGGAAGGTGTGGAGGAAATTCGGTCTTCGTTGTCAACGGACAGACTCGCACCTGGTGAACCAACTCGTTGCAAGGCCATTGAGAGCGTCAACCGGACGGAAGATCGAAGACGCCGACGAACCAATTCGACTAGTCTTGGCAATTGACGTATGCGCTGGGGTTAGTGTCAATAGCGGCATTAAGTACGCCACCTTGAAGAAGAGTACGCTTGACGCAGGTTACGCTACCAGTGTGCAGACTTGCTGTCGGTCAATTCTGCAGCAACTCGCAGAGTCTGGACGACTCAGCACCCCGCAGCAACAGCAAGACCATGATATCCTCGAGAATTTCGCACCACTGATCTCAAAATCCCTCGCCGCCATCGTAAAACAATCGCAAGCGGGTCGAGCTGCGTCACTGGAGCACGATAGAGACCACTTCAACGAGGAGCTCATCTTGCGAGAGCTTCAAGGTGTCTTACGAAACTAATGAAACGCATATTATAAAGTTTCAGAGGTTAATTTGCGGAGGCTTGTTGGCCACACCATCAAGACTGAGCAGAAAGCAAAGGAAATATGTCGGCTATCGGAGCGCTACGTGAGCTGGAAAAGGACAAGAAGGGACCAAAGAACGCTGGCATTAAGGTGCGTGATATCTAAGCCACAGCTGGAACGCTCTCTGTTGGTGTAGCTGCTGTGTCGTAATGACGTGCTGAACATTTATCTTGTGCATTATGCAGGAGCTATTCCTGAACCTGCCGTCCCGGATTCGCCAGTCTGGCCCCGTCAAGGGCGGGATTAACTTTGCTGTGAAGGTATATTGCCACAACAAAGCTGAAGCCCCTCCTGAACGTGACGATTGACGTCATTTTTATTCTCAATATGGTGATTTAGAGCTGGAAGACCTCGGGCCGATGGCTGTGGGTCCTCTCGACGACTCTGCTGGTGACGCTGGTGCCCCTCAGCATTGAGGTGTGTGGCTCAAATACGATCAACGAGTGCTACGATGCGTGTACCGCTATTAACAATGTGCTATTGCAAATAGATGCTGCGTGAGGAGCAGACGAACGAGGTGGTGAAGGAGCTGGTGAGCAAGGGATTCAGCTACAACCAGATCCAGGGTATGGGCTACATGGTGTCGCAGCCGCAGAGCACGCTGTCGACGCCTGCCGAGGGCGCCACGCAGTAGTTTTGACAGCTACCGTAGTTCATATCGTCGATAGCGACAACAATAGCTGCGCGTAGATGCGGAGAAAGACACTTCACAACCGCTGGGCGCGTCAGCTGTACATTTTGCTGATTTACATTACCCAGGTTAAAACGAGGACTGCGATGCTACTGCGTCTGGTAAAGAACGGAAACGAAACATAGATCGCTTGCATTTTGTCGTCGCCGACGGGATTTCGACTCGTGGCTATTCTACTAGTTCATTTTCATGCCAGAAGGTCAATCCGCTGGTGTTTCTAGTCACTTTTCTTCTTCTTCTGACTCTTGATCATGACCATACCGATGAATGTGGCAGCTCCGCTGAAGAGCAGCACGAGCAGCACAGCAGGGATGCTGATGGCGTAATGATACGGCAAGAAGAACTGTCGAATTGGGTGGTTCTCCTCGATGAAAGGCTGCGTTGATCATAGCAAAGACAGCAGCGTAAGCAAGGGAAATAGTGGAGGCAAACGCGGCGGAACGTACAGTGAGCAGCACCCAGATGCTGTAGTAGACGTAGACAACGACACTTATTGTCAGCAGCACGAGGCCGACAGCCTTATCCGATACTCCCTAGCGTACACAATGCATTGCATAGCATAAATCAGTGGACAACGAGCGGATGGCTCAGACAAGGAGAGGAGAGAGCGCATACCATGACGCAAAACAACGATGGAGCGCGATTCAGAAAGAAAGGTGCAATTGTTCAGAAAAAATATACTTTAATTTGTCATGTTAATTTTGATTTGGTACATGTGTCACATATAGGCGCGGCCACAAAGTGTGGCGGTAAGATGGCCACAAAGTGTGGCGGTAAGATTGGTCATAAGCTTAGCTATGCCGGCTGGGAGAGGCGTAAGCTTATTAAATACATCGTTGTGCTCTCATGGCATGATGACCAGCCTACAGATGTCACGGTTAGGTTTTTTGTGGCCGCAATCTGCTTCATCGCAGCAATATCGTTCACAGCATGTTGAGCAGCGGGATTGACTAAAGCTTTGCTCACGCACGACGACATTCGATAGCCCAAGTCTTCGGAGTGTCATCAACTACATGTAACAGGTCCTGTGTGGACTGTTACAGGACTCATTTCCGATTGTCCTCACTTCGAATCAAGTCTACCAATTTCAAGCCCACCTCAGCTATGCCCTCCCTGACTTCTATCGCTTCCGCAGCCTTTGCTTTGGCTCTGCTGTCCGTCTCGAACGCCCAACACGCAACTCAGCAGCAGCAGCAGACCCCCCACCAGTCAAGCAAAGGAGCTGAACCTGACAGCAGCATGCTGCTCGCGGCGTTGAATGATGTGGACTCCTACAAGTCGTCCACGCTCATTTGCCTCTACAAGGTCAACATGCTGGATGTCAAGAAGGACACCTACAACTACAGCGTCACCGGATGCAAGGTGGACCCCGAATTTGTGGGTCGTTGCCCCGACCTGACCTCGTTCCCTGGCTGTGGCAGCTACAACGTCGTCCTCACCTCGAAGTCGAAGAAACCCAAGGTGATGTCGATCAAGAAGGCGTCGAAGTAAGGTGCACTTGGCTCACACGCTTTCAATGTTTGAGTATGCCTCAATTGTAGGCGTAGTAAATGTAACGGGAAATATACGCAGATTTCCAAGAAATGTTTCAGTTTGAAAGCTTTAAAAGCTGTACCGAATTTGTAACATCTGATGAGCCTGTAAGAGCTCACCTTATCTATTTTAAGTTACAGTAGATAAAATGAGCTCGTATATCTTGATATCCAGTCGCTCTTGATAGGATGTGATTTCACCGTAGTGGTGTTCTTGTCCTACAATGTATAATACGTAGAAATACTGTAGTGCAGGATTAATCCGAGCACTTTTACAGCTGTTTTTGACTTGTTACAATTTTAAGTGAAGACGTCCTATAATTTCACCGTTATGGGTACCTTTCTGCATTTTATTTGTTATTGACAGGTAACTAGCTAGATGATTTGGTTGGAGGTAAACAACAATTAAGGGAAGGCAAATCCTGTACCAGTAGTGAAAAGGAAAAAAGTGGCGTGAATCTGCAATTGAAGGGCCAATAATTTCATGGTTCGCGAGCTAAGCGTCCAGCACCAACCGGGAATTGACGATCTGTCTTTTCACATACACAATTAGTGTCCGTTATTAAACGTTTCCATCATTTCAATCACCATTAATAGCCCGATTTTATGTGGGCAACCCTAAAAAAGGGGCAGGGGTGGGGGAAAGTGCCTATTTGTTTTGCCATTTTCTAAAGAAATCGCCAGAAAATCGGCAGATTTCCGTAAAAAATGGGGGGAGGCGAAGATCCGCTTTTGGCGACTGTCCCTAAACCCTTCTTCGATTAATGCCCTTGTAAAAGCGATGGACGATTGTACTGATTTAGTGAAACTCTTCTGGACTTTTAGAGCAAAGCCTCAAAGTTTGATAATTGTGATATCTGAAGCAGCCGTTCTTTTTTTAAGCTGTCTAGCTTAGGTAATGTACTCCTTAGGGTGGTGTACGATACACCTTTTTCAAAATCACTACCAGGATAAAGCACATTACAGCGATGCTTTAAGCACGAATTTCAAGAACCTTACTGTATGGCTTGATATACATACATATTAAACAAACCAAATACTACTAGAAAGCCAATTTAACCACCACGACCTTCGTCTAAAGTAGTCACTAGTGGCAGTGGACATAGAACCAATTGACAACTCGCCAAACAGTGAGCGAACACAAGATACTACTCAGTAGCTAAATATCTTTTAGTATGTAGTCATCCCTTACTCTAGTAATAGACAAGTTGCTATGGATTTGACGCTGTACTTTATAGTGTAAAGTAGCTGGCTATTATATTGATCACGGCGCGTACATGTAGTCTTCTAGCCAAAGCAGATGCTGCAGATGCAGCGGGGCTGCCGTAGCTTTAGCGTCAGAGGAAGACGTTCGACTCAAAGAGTCACTAATACTAAAATCCTTATCTGAGGGACACTTACAGGCCACGACCAGGGCTCAACGTTAATACCGTAAATGTATACTTCAAAACCAAAAGTGTGTTAAATACTATTATTGCGGCCAAGCCGCCTCGGAGTAAATGTATTCGCTTAACTATCTAGAATAGCTAAACCTTATCAAATGCATGACGTGTGGCTTTTAGCCAACGTACTGAGAGGCCTTGTTCACTCTTCGACTTATGTACTATTAATTTGCTAGCTCTCCGGGTACTCCGTGCCCCTGTGTGTTCCACACCATGTAACCCGCTACAGCGGAAGCACAGTACACAGAGCTCAAATCTTCCTCTAGAGCCGCTCATTGACTGAGCAGGTACAGTAGTGACGCGTTCGCTCACTACTCGGGGTGTGTAAATGGGGTGACGTCGCCGCCAATCACAGCACACATGGTATCATACACCCAAGTGCCCCGGTTGCCAGTTTCGCTAGGAAGGGAGTGAATCTGAATAGGACGGGTGACGAGTGCTGCGCTCGCAATCTTTAACAGGTGTCTGTATACGCTAATGCGTAAATATCATAGATAAATGAAGCGTTAATGCGTAGAGCATAGCATGGTTGGTATATTTCACGTTTGCAGCAGCAGCGGGACTTTTCCTTAAATAGGGTGGGTGCTCGGCTTCCACGTGAGTTGCAAATGTTCGTCGACCGTAACTACGGATCTGACCTCCGCCAACACAGCTGTCACTATTAACTTTGAGGAGGTAGAGGTGTTTTGCGGTTGTCGGCACTTCGATCGCACCGCAATACCGCAGTAAATAAACAATTTTCTGGTACTGCAAGCGTGCCCATGTTCTCATTCACCCTGCGTACCCCATCGGCGCGTAAGCACGACCAGTGATGCCCATTACCGTCAGTAGCCCATCAATTGCCCCAGCAATGCGACAGAACCTAAGACACTTCGGTGTCGTTGCAATCTACCGGAACCGCCCCACGGCGTTCCAGCTCGACAAGGGCCACCCATGATACTCACGGCAAAACAATACTGCGACATGCTTCACATGCAGCGAGTACATTGTCAGCAGGCTAAAGCGCTCATCTCACACCGATGGCGCCGACTGCACCTTGGCGTGAGGCTCCGCATCAGCTTCCCACGTCATATAGATGTCGGCCGATACAGCACCGCCGCAACGTCGTTATGCCCCGACCACTACGGTAACCCGTCTACAATATTAGCCTCCAAAGCTGAATTCCGCTCCGGTCTGTGGGACTTAGTACGCCCGCATCCTATTTACACAGCATTAGGTCTGATACTTCCAAATACGTTCCCGGCATCGCTTGACGGCAGGCCCTGTTTAAAAAAAATCGTTCCACAGCGTACAATCCAAATTTGTGGGGCACACATTGCGCTTCCTCAGCTCATCGAGCTTGTCCGTGGCCAAAAAATCGTGAGCTACCGGCTCAACAAGCGCATGGTTCCTGCCGTTATTAATTAGGCATGTAGAGGCTACCAGCACCTAGACGCTTTACTTGACATCACGGCTTCTGATGTCCGGGCCCCACTGCGCAGCCCCTACCAGACCAACATGTGTATCCGACTACCACAGATTGGTGACCTACCGTTACCCTGTGCTGGTAAAGAATGTTCGAAAGAAACAAGACCAGTGGTACTGCCTCGTGTTAGACCTGGACATTCTTGAGAGGTCACATCGCCACGTTTGGCGTAGTAGATAATGACGTGACTGATCCACTCACGACCGGACGACTTACTCACGATCTCCCCGTTACAGACGGCCAATTCGTAAGCGATCACACGGATGCAGCCAGCATTTTCACTCCGAGATTCGAACTTGACGAGTCAGTTGCAGCCGAGATCATACACCAGCAAGAGCTTCACTCGGACACTGAAGTCCATGTGCATGCCGGCGGTGTGACGTCGGCCTTTTGCACTGTATGCAGACTCTTACTACCGACTTCTTAAGCCGCTCAGACTACCATTCTTTTTATGGCCGACTCCAACGTGCTACCACCTAGGTGATACCTGCTTGACCGTTTCTTCTGCGGCTACGCCAACAAGATCGCCATCTGTACCACTGGCAGCGGATTCCGGTCCTGTACGTCATATAAGAGGATGATCAAGTATTCTTTGCCTGTCCTAGCTTTTCCGTTGAAGTATTTTCATGCTCTCCCTGCACCGAGCGTCGTTTTTGAGATGAACGCTTTCGACAACGGACTGTGCGTTCTCGAGCCAGCCTCCCGTCTCGTGCTACGTTATGTCTTTATCGCGGAAGAGCGACTCAATATCCACACAAGTAAGGCCGACGCTACTATTGGCTTCGACATTAAGTACCGGGGCCTTTGGTCTTGTGCGTTTGCAATACATGCTTTACGCTGTGATAACGTACCGGGACTATGCCCGTACTGAGGGTCCGTTTCATGTTGAACAACACGTCTGCCGTGTCATGGCAGAACAAAATGGCGACTAGCAACCACCGAGCGCAAACGATCATTCTCTTGATAGGACTATGAGAGCTCGTATTCGATCTTCATTCCTCAGCAGTCCGCGTGGCTGGCGCACAGAACCGGATCGCTGAAGCCGGCTCGCGGTATCCAGGTAGTATCGCCATGACTAGTTTATTTAATCAACTAGCAGTTGTTTGGAAGCAGGTGACATCACAACCATTATTTTAGGACTTGAAAGGGTCTGGCGCTCCCTCTCCGAGCACACTCCGTCGCAACATCGACATACGTCAAGTATAACGATGCGCTAGTAGTCTGGTACATCCAGACTTCTTGTCGCAGAATTCAGCCAGCATAACTTGGCTACCATCTAAGTTGCAATTCGTTTTTGATTTCGTTCTGCACGACTTCCAATACAGCTACGATTCGAGTAGGTCAATTCGCGGTTCTTTCATCGCGGCCACTCTCCGGACACTCATCACCTTTTTAAGGCCTCTGCGATCAAGTTCCCAAGCGATCATTCACAAGTACGCATGGTCATCAAATGCATCAATCGTCTCGACGGCCCCGCCTTACGCAGGTCGCCGGTTTCGCTGCAACTTTTAATACAGTGCTACACTACGCTCGACCTATCAATTTCTCGAGACCAAGCTCTCTGGGGGCTTTATTTTGTATATAGCTTTTTTTCTACTCCGACGCTCAAAAAAAGCGTCAGCCTGCAAAACGATCTCGTGGCTTACCTTGAAGGTAGAAGATATTGCTGTACTGGGCCGCAATGGATCAGCCACATTCGTCGTCAACAAGGCTGCGTCTGTTCACATACGAGTGAGGTGCTCCAACACCACGAATATTGATACAATCACCAGCGAAAAGGAATCCATAACCATTAAATCGGGAGGGATCACCTACCATTCTATTCGGATGAATCACCAGTGATTTGGACGATTTCACCACTACAGCAAGCTATATATAAACATGCAATTGTGGTCGTTTCGTACTGGTACATCTAAATCAATGCAATAATAGACCACAAGGAGACGCAACGCTTCACTTCCGAATATTCAAGAGGCGTCTATCACAATGAACGACCCGCCCACGGTGGCGCTACCCGGGGTGTGATCATAGTCGTATAATAACATCGAGTGCTTTTAGTTTACTAACGCAAATCGGCTGTAGTTTAGAGTGAGGTGTGCGATACACGACGAGGAAGGCGAATTCCTTGGGTAGAAATCTGGAACTCAGCCATCAATCAAGATGTTTCACTGGATGACTTTGTTCTCTGGATATTCATATCCAGAGTTGTAGGGGGTCGACGATCCTCTATAAAATATTAGGGTGCTACATTCGTAATTATTAAGAGTATAGGGGCTTGCAAGTGATAGGCTAAAAGGACAGAATACCTAATAAACTACGGTAAAGCATAAAAAGCACTGGTGAATGTCGTTCCAAGCCGCCTGGGTCAACATTCACGCTATCTGGTTTTAGGTGGATGTTGCTCCAATATACGATACCACCGATGGTGGGTGGTACAGTACATGAAGTCTACAGATAAATACTAGGGTTGAGATTAAGTAGAATAAAAATTAAAAAAGTTAATCTAGCCTAGCCCTTTATGACGAATGCTTTGATTTCATTGGCTTAGAAGTTATTATCGGATTATCTTTATTCTGACTTTCAAAGTCAGAATAACTTTAATCCCGGGAAAAAAACTGCACAAGCTGATACCTATCGGTGGCCAGCCATGGGCCATGGCTGTAGGCGTACGCTGGCATCAATCGCTCGAGTAGACGTGCGAGGCGACGTTTGGTGTAGGTAGGGATGCGTGGAATGCTTAAACAACCGACAAACGAAGCAAACATGACCTACATTTCCTCAGGTGGCGATGCGCCCAAGGCACTCGAATTTGTACCGCCTTGTCCGCGGACTTTTCGTAGACGGCGACGATTTAACACGCTCTTGATCAATTTACACCCGTAGGAAAGCGATGGATGCAGTGTGGTGCGCAACATTATCCCAGATGAGGCTGAAGCGAGCGCGCAGCACGCTCCACTAGCGGCACGTAGTACATGTAGCTCTTCGGTAGGGAATCGTATACCTTCAAAGTTGATATCACTTTTCCACGAGATCAGATTATTGCAAATCTGTTTCGTTTGATTCGCTATTCCTACGAAGTTATTCCGCTTCTTATTCTCAAATGAAACAGATAAAGGGCTAGGTTAAGTTATCTTTTTTATTCTTATTCTACTTAATCTCAAATGAAACAGCCCCTATCGAGGCCATCTCGCGTCAAGACAGCAAGGTCGGACGACAACGCACGTTCGACCGCGGCTTCTTCATTTTAGCGAAACTGTATCCTCATACACATCAACCTTACGACGTAACGCGTAAGTAAGCCCCCCTCCCTCTCTCTCACACACACACACACACATCACACACATCAGAGGAAGAAAACGAATTACCACGTCGGGTATTTCAAAGCGGACTGACAGTAGAGAAAATGATTCTTGCTCCGCTTCGTCATCCGACTCGCAGGATTCCTCAGCGCTCATCTTTCTATGTCGCCGTCACTCGAGTGAAAACGTTATCGCAGTTGTATCTCATGGCCCCCCTTACGAAAGAGTTTTTGGAGTATTTTACTCCAAGTCGTGATGCGCTGGCAGAAACCCAAAGACTTCATGCAATTGAGGATCGAACAGATTAAGAAACCATAATGCCGTGGAAAAATTGTTACAGGTCTTCTTTAAAATACAGTACTTTCGTAAGTTAGGGTACCAACTTGTTTTCAAGTTTTCGAAGTTCGGGGATAGCCACTCAAATGAATGACTATCATTCTCGCTCGGTGTGTTGATGTCTTCTTCTAGACTGGAAGTCTTAGTTAAATCGCAATTCTTCTCCTTTTTTCTTCTAAAAAGTCCTTCATTCCGCACTAGTTATTGCTTTTTTGAAAATACCATAATATCCAGAGCTTCACCGGGCTTAGCACGGCATTAGTGGATTCTCTGCCCAGTCGAAGTCGACAGAGAAATACACCAGAGCGATGTACCTTGGATCACGGCAAATTTGATGACGACGAGTCCCTAATGACACGCCATACCATGCGAAGAATTATAACTAGGTGCACATCCGCTAGATGTAAAGAGAGTGGGGTAAAATGTCAGTGTCGATACCGAGTTTTTACGTGCGAGGAGAGCAATTTGGCTGCTGTATCTGTCGATGGGGACCATACGATGCTGGACACATCAGTCATGTCACCTACATCAAAACTTCCTGTCTTGACAGATAACATGAAGAAGTGTATTGATGAACGACTTGAAGAAGACTCAGCAATTACCCCTGTGGCGCTGTTTGGAATTATATGCAAAAAGCTATCCCGTATGATACTAGAAGGCCCTCCTCCACTACTGACCCAGGTACAGAGCCACACCAAACGATGGCGCAAGGTTCATCGAAGAGACATCATGCAGCCCGTGATAGATCTGTGTAGACGACACATGTACGATACTCTGGTAAACGTTTCCGATGAACCCAAGGATTTGATGATACTTTGTGATACAAAGCACGAAGAGAACACGATTGCTCCCCAACTGGGAGACGGATCTGCATTGTATCCATTCCGTATTGGTATCGCTTCTTTTTCGATGTTGGAAACATACGTGGAGGCGCAGCGCGATCCACGGTGTACAACGATCCTTCATATCGATAGTACTCATAGTATTGTCAAACAGAAATTTCCTGTATTCGTTTTTGGGTTTTCGGATTGCCGGTGCAAGTTCTTCCCAATAATTTAGTTTTGCACGTCGCGAAAAGATGTAGTATGGTGTATTTCGTATACGAAGCGGATTATTCGAAATAGGTTTTTGATTGCCTTCTCCCCAGCCCTTATCATGTCCGACGCAGACAATGCGCAGCTCCATGCTTGTCAAGCTGCACTGCCTCAATCCAAGTGGCTAATGTGTTGGTTTCACGTTTGTCAAAACGTGAAAGACCGCACTAAGGGAAAGCTAGAGCGCGTGACTATCGATATGATCTTTCGGGACCTGAACAATCTTCACTACGCACGAAACGAGGAGGAATACCTGAGTAAAAGATCTCTCATTTTATCGTCATGGCGCTCTGCATGTGAGCATTTTCGCAAAGTAGGTGATCATATAATTTCACAGTGGATATTATACCCTCGTTTCAGTCAATGGCAAGCATTTCATACTCCCCCTGGATACGCAGCTTCGAATAATCCACTTGAACATTACCATAAAACACATAAGTTAGTGAATAAGTCGAAGAAAACAGCTCCTTTCGAAATAATTGAGCGCTTAGATCAGTCTCGACCCGTTTTTAATAACACAAAGCTTACTTTCAAAAGCTCTCCGCAAGTGTCACAGCGCCTAAAAGCTTTGTACAATTTGACAACTCGTAAACATGAGCTATCAGCCAAAATTGTACCCACAGCTGATGGCATCCCTGCTCAACTCGTTCAAGTCCAACATTTTCCAAAACGGCGCTATGACGACAATGAAAGTTGCCCTGCCAACGAATTTTTCGCGGAGCCCGAAAACAAAAAATTACCGTACAAGTCGATACACGTTTTACGTATGCAGTGGAAAAATATGCCTGTGGATGGATGGTTAGTGAACGCTGTGTCCCGCTTGTGTGGCTGCCTCTTCAGTGGTAAGTTTGGTCTCTGTGCTCACATAATTCACGCAACACGGCAGCTGTAAATTCTTTGTCCAGGAATGCCCGACGCTGAGCGAGTTTTCGCAGCTACTGGATGTCAGCTTAGAAGAGAACGATTAACCACCCTCGAAAATCAAATCGAGAATAGTCAAGATACGGCGCCATCCGAAACAGCTACTACTGAGCTCTGTATACAATGTATCCACGGTAGACCACTGTACGGACCAAGGTGGAGGGGCCGCCACCTGAACAGATCCACCGAGTGAGTGTTTACGCATCTCGTCTAGGTACATATCGTGCACCTGCAGAATTGCATGAACCGGTTAGCCCGCTGAATCTGAATGGTGAAGCTGACCGTCACTTTGGAGCGCATGGATTCAGCTCAAGGAATTCAAACGAATACAAGAATGTATTGACTTTTATGAGTTATCCAACTGGTTGGGTAAGCTCCAACAATTCGGGGGAGTCGCAGCCCGGTAACATAGCACACGAAGAAGTGACATCAGCGACTTTATTCCATGGACCGTCAGAGCCTACGCGAATTGCGAAATCATCATCACCTTATCATCTTGTTAATCCACATATCATCGCTGTCCGCGGTGCAAGAATGATACACCCCCTCTCAGAGACTGCGGCAGAACAAGATTTAAGTGAAGTTGATAACAGCGAAAATAGTGAAGCTACAAGAGGTGGGTTTGAGGAGACAACGGAGAATCGCTCGACCAATACACTACAAAGCAGCACACGTCGTACTTCTTGTGACCAGACCAAGCGTCGCAGGTACCAACGAACAAATGCAGCGGCCTTTGTTTTATATTTGCTAAAAAAAACTATTCTGTAAAACGAATTTGCCTTCTTTCCATTTGTATTAAAGACTGCTCGTGACAGTGGAACCACATATATAAAGCAATCTTACACCTTCTGATTCCCACTACAAACCAATCTTTACAAAGAGTGTCAACTACTAAGCATTTGCCTTTGGTGATGTTTCCCATCACCAAAGGTGATGGGAAACATATTACAACCACATGGTGGATGACCAAATCTCTGGTGATGCAGATCAAATGTATGGTGATGGTGTATAAATCTTTGGTGAGTATTTCTCTCCCTCCAATGTGGCCATGCAATCTTGCGCCTATACTGCAGCTCATGTACCAAATCAAAATTTTACAAATTTAAAGTATATTCTTTCTGAACAATTGCACCTTTCTTTCTGAATTGCGCTCCATCGTTGTTTTGCGTCATGGTATGCGCTCTCTCCTCTCCTTGTCTGAGCCATCCGCTCGTTGTCCACTGACTTATGCTACTCAATGCATTGTGTACGCTAGGGGGCATCGGACAAGGCCGTTGGCCTCGTGTTACTGACAATAAGTGTCGCTGTCTACGTTTACTACAGCATCTGGGTGGGGAAAAACTATGGAGATCGAGGTTACAGAGATCGAGGTGTAAGTAATCTATAAAAAGTGCGATGGCAGGGATCCATTCCAAAATAGCTCTCACAAATGGAGAGAACTCGTTGATACGCACGAATAAATAATGTATTTGCCGTAGTCTCGCCACCTACGCAATTCTACTTGCTCTGAAGCTTCGCCTCGGTCTTGACTCGGATGATCTTGGGAGCGATCTCGCCGAACCGAGCCAGCGTATCGTAGTGCGATCGCGTGATATCCATGGCCGTACATGTACTGTGCACACAGCAAATGGAGCCGACCATGATCCCGTCCAGACCCAGGATCGGGATACCGCAATAGTATTTCACACCTTGACGCGTCACCGGGTTCAGATTGTAGAAGCGGACGTCAGCCTCCAGGTGGCGGATGATGAACGGAGCGTCGCCCATAAGTAAATGCGGGCAGAACGTGTGTTCGCGAGGCAACATGGCGTGGACGAAGTCTCGAATCGTGCAGCTTAGAACCAACTGGTGCGTCTCGCCGACGATCATGATCATTGTGCAGAAGAATCCCAACTCTTTGCTCAGAAACGAGCAGATGATGTCCAGTTCCGGCATCGGCTCCTTCAGGTCCATAAGGCCAAATCGATCGATACACTCAATTCGAGCTACTTCATTCTCTGGAACTGGGGCGGACGGCGACGCGCTGTCCATCGGGTGCAGTGGGCATAGTTTCGTTGCTGGGCGTTCGACAGCACACACTTTTTTGCATCTGGCGCCTCACGAGTACGACGATCGAAGTATTCTTTCACAGCTGACATGCACTTATCATTGTTACTCTTGGCCTTATCTATTAATAGTCTGCCTATTTTTGGTCAATTTTGTGAGAGACATTTTAAAAATTGATCCCTGCCATCGCACTTTTTATATATTACTTACACCTCGATCTTCGTAACCTCGATCTCCATAGTTTTCCCCATCTGGATGCTGCTCACTGTACGTTCCGCCGCGTTTGCCTCCACTATTTCCCTTGCTTATGCTGCTGTCTAGGGTTTAGGGTTTGGCTTCGCCCCTTTATGGCGTATGTGAACAGACGCAGCCTTGTTGACGACGATTGTGGCTGATCCATTGTGGCCCAGTACAGCAATATCTTCTACCTTCAAGGTAAGCCACGAGATCGTTTTGCAGGCTGACGCGATTTTTGAGCGTCGGAGTAGAAAAAAAGCTACATACAAAATAAAGCCCCCAGAGAGCTTGGTCTCGAGAAATTGATAGGTCGAGCGTAGTGTAGCACTGTATTAAAAGTTGCAGCGAAACCGGCGACCTGCGTAAGGCGGGGCCGTCGAGACGATTGATGCATTTGATGACCATGCGTACTCGTGAATGATCGCTTAGGAACTTGATCGCAGAGGCCTTAAAAAGGTGATGAGTGTCCGGGGAGTGGCCGCGATGAAAGAACCGCGAATTGACCTACTCGAATCGTAGCTGTATTGGAAGTCGTGCAGAACGAAATCAAAAACGAATTGCAACTTAGATGGTAGCCAAGTTATGCTGGCTGAATTCTGCGACAAGAAGTCTGGATGTACCAGACTACTAGCGCATCGTTTTACTTGACGTATGTCGATGCTGCGACGGAGTGTGCTTGGAGAGGGAGCGCCAGACCCTTTCAAGTCCTAAAATACTGGTTGTGATGTCACCTGCTTCCAAACAACTGCTAGTTGATTAAATAAACTAGTCATGGCGATGCTACCTGGATACCGCGAGCCGGCTTCAGCGATCCGGTTCTGTGCGCCAGCCACGCGGACTGCTGAGGAATGAAGATCGAATACGAGTTCTCATAGTCCTATAAAAAGAGAGATAGTTTGCGCTCGGTGGTTGCTAGTCGCCATTTTGTTCTGCCATGACACGGCAGACGTGTTGTTCAACATGAAACGGACCCTCAGTACGGGCATAGTCCCGGTACGTTATCACAGCGTAAAGCATGTATTGCAAACGCACAAGACCAAAGGCCCCGGTACTTAATGTCGAAGCCAATAGTAGCGTCGGCCTTACTTGTGTGGATATTGAGTCGCTCTTCCGCGATAAAGACATAACGTAGCACGAGACGGGAGGCTGGCTCGAGAACGCACAGTCCGTTGTCGAAAACGTTCATCTCAAAAACGACGCTCGGTGCAGGGAGAGCATGAAAATACTTCAACGGAAAAGCTAGGACAGGCAAAGAATACTTGATCATCCTCTTATATGACGTACAGGACCGGAATCCGCTGCCAGTGGTACAGATGGCGATCTTGTTGGCGTAGCCGCAGAAGAAACGGTCAAGCAGGTATCACCTAGGTGGTAGCACGTTGGAGTCGGCCATAAAAAGAATGGTAGTCTGAGCGGCTTAAGAAGTCGGTAGTAAGAGTCTGCATATAGTGCAAAAGGCCGACGTCACACCGCCGGCATGCACATGAACTTCAGTGTCCGGGTGAAGCTCTTGCTGGTGTATGATCTCGGCTACAACTGACTCGTCAAGTTCGAATCTCGGAGTGAAAATGCTGGCTGCATCTGTGTGATCGCTTACGAATTGGCCGTCTGGAACGGGGAGATCGTGAGTAAGTCGTCCGGTCGTGAGTGGATCAGTCACGTCATTATCTACTACGCCAAACGTGGCGATGTGACCTCTCAAGAATGTCCAGGTCTAACACGAGGCAGTACCACTGGTCTTGTTTCTTTCGAACATTCTTTACCAGCACAGGGTAACGGTAGGTCACCAATCTGTGGTAGTCGGATACACATGTTGGTCTGGTAGGGGCTGCGCAGTGGGGCCCGGACATCAGAAGCCGTGATGTCAAGTAAAGCATCTAGGTGCTGGTAGCCTCTACATGCCTAATTAATAACGGCAGGAACCATGCGCTTGTTGAGCCGGTAGCTCACGAATTGTTTTTGGCCACGGACAAGCTCGATGAGCTGAGGAAGCGCAATGTGTGCCCCACAAATTTGGATTGTACGCTGTGGAACGATTTTTTTTAAACAGGGCCTGCCGTCAAGCGATGCCGGGAACGTATTTGGAAGTATCAGACCTAATGCTGTGTTAATAGGATGCGGGCGTACTAAGTCCCACAGACCGGAGCGGAATTCAGCTTTGGAGGCTACTATTGTAGACGGGTTACCGTAGTGGTCGGGGCATAACGACGTTGCGGCGGTGCTGTATCGGCCGACATCTATATGACGTGGGAAGCTGATGCGGAGCCCCACGCCAAGGTGCAGTCGGCGCCATCGGTGTGAGATGAGCGCTTTGGCCTGCTGACAATGTACTCGCTGCATGTGGAGCATGTCGCAGTATTGTTTTGCCGTGAGTATCATGGGTGGCCCTTGTCGAGCTGGAACGCCGTGGGGCGGTTCCGGTAGATTGCAACGACACCGAAGTGTCTTAGGTTCTGTCGCATTGCTGGGGCAATTGATGGGCTACTGACGGTAATGGGCATCACTGGTCGTGCTTACGCGCCGATGGGGTACGCAGGGTGAATGAGAACATGGGCACGCTTGCAGTACCAGAAAATTGTTTATTTACTGCGGTATTGCGGTGCAATCGAAGTGCCGACAACCGCAAAACACCTCTGCCTCCTCAAAGTTAATAGTGACAGCTGTGTTGGCGGAGGTCAGATCCGTAGTTACGGTCGACGAACATTTGCAACTCACGTGGAAGCCGAGCACCCACCCTATTTAAGGAAAAGTCCCGCTGCTGCTGCAAACGTGAAATATACCAACCATGCTATGCTCTACGCATTAACGCTTCATTTATCTATGATATTTACGCATTAGCGTATACAGACACCTGTTAAAGATTGCGAGCGCAGCACTCGTCACCCGTCCTATTCAGAGTCACTCCCTTCCTAGCGAAACTGACAACCGGGGCACTTGGGTGTATGATACCATGTGTGCTGTGATTGGCGGCGACGTCACTCCATTTACACACCCCGAGTAGTGAGCGAACGCGTCACTACTGTACCTGCTCAGTCAATGAGCGGCTCTAAAGGAAGATTTGAGCTCTGTGTACTGTGCTTCCGCTGTAACGGGTTACATGGTGTGGAACACACAGGGGCACGGAGTACCCGGAGAGCTAGCAAATTAATAGTACATAAGTCGAAGAGTGAACAAGGCCTCTCAGTACGTTGGCTAAAAGCCACACGTCATGCATTCGATAAGGGTTAGCTATTCTAGATAGTTAAGCGAATACATTTACTCCGAGGCGGCTTGGCCGCAATAATAGTATTTAACACACTTTTGGTTTTGAAGTATACATTTACGGTATTAACGTTGAGCCCTGGTCGTGGCCTGTAAGTGTCCCTCAGATAAGGAATTTAGTATTAGTGACTCTTTGAGTCGAACGTCTTCCGCTGACGCTAAAGCTACGGCAGCCCCGCTGCATCTGCAGCATCTGCTTTGGCTAGAAGACTACATGTACGCGCCGTGATCAATTTTAGTAACCAGCTACTTTACACTATAAAGTACAGCGTCAAATCCATAGCAACTTGTCTATTACTAGAGTAAGGGATGACTACATACTAAAAGATATTTAGCTACTGAGTAGTATCTTGTGTTCGCTCACTGTTTGGCGAGTTGTCAATTGGTTCTATGTCCACTGCCACTAGTGACTACTTTAGACGAAGGTCGTGGTGGTTAAATTGGCTTTCTAGTAGTATTTGGTTTGTTTAATATTTATGTATATCAAGCCATACAGTAAGGTTCTTGAAATTCGTGCTTAAAGCATCGCTGTAATGTGCTTTATCCTGGTAGTGATTTTGAAAAAGGTGTATCGTACACCACCCTAAGGAGTACATTACTTAAGCTAGACAGCTTAAAAAAGAACGGCTGCTTCAGATATCACAATTATCAAACTTTGAGGCTTTGCTCTATAAGTCCAGAATAGTTTCACTAAATCAGTACAATCGTCCATCGCTTTTACAAGGGCATTCATCGAAGAAGGGTTTGGGGAGTACAGTCGCCAAAAGCGGATCTTCGATATAAATGGGGGGGGGCATGCCTCCCCCCATTTTTTACGGAAATCTGCCGATTTTCTGGCGATTTCTTTAGAAAATGGCAAAACAAATAGGCACTTTCCCCCACCCCTGCCCCTTTTTTAGGGTTGCCCACATAAAATCGGGCTATTAATGGTGATTGAAATGATGGAAACGTTTAATAACGGACACTAATTGTGTATGTGAAAAGACAGATCGTCAATTCCCGGTTGGTGCTGGACGCTTAGCTCGCGAACCATGAAATTATTGGCCCTTCAATTGCAGATTCACGCCACTTTTTTCCTTTTCACTACTGGTACAGGATTTGCCTTCCCTTAATTGTTGTTTACCTCCAAGCTCTACCAGCCAAATCATCTAGTCTGTGGAAGCTAGTTACCTGTCAATAACAAATAAAATGCAGAAAGGTACCCATAACGGTGAAATTATAGGACGTCTTCACTTAAAATTGTAGCAAGTCAAAAACAGGCTCGGATTAATCCTGCACTACAGTATTTCTACGTATTATACATTGTAGGACAAGAACACCACTACGGTGAAATCACATCCTATCAAGAGCGACTGGATATCAAGATATACGAGCTCATTTTATCTACTGTAACTTAAAATAGATAAGGTGAGCTCTTACAGTGTAGATAGGCTCATCAGATGTTACAAATTCGGTACAGCTTTTAATGCTTTCAAACTGAAACATTTCTTGGAAATCTGCGTATATTTCCCGTTACATTTACTACGCGGCATACTCAAACATTGAAAGCGTGTGAGCCAAGTGCACCTTACTTCGACGCCTTCTTGATCGACATCACCTTGGGTTTCTTCGACTTCGAGGTGAGGACGACGTTGTAGCTGCCACAGCCAGGGAACGAGGTCAGGTCGGGGCAACGACCCACAAATTCGGGGTCCACCTTGCATCCGGTGACGCTGTAGTTGTAGGTGTCCTTCTTGACATCCAGCATGTTGACCTTGTAGAGGCAAATGAGCGTGGACGACTTGTAGGAGTCCACGTCGTTCAACGCCGCGAGCAGCATGCTGCTGTCAGGTTCAGCTCCTTTGCTTGACTGGTGGGGGGTCTGCTGCTGCTGCTGAGTTGCGTGTTGGGCGTTCGAGACGGACAGCAGAGCCAAAGCAAAGGCTGCGGAAGCGATAGAAGTCAGGGAGGGCATAGCTGAGGTGGGCTTGAAATTGGTAGACTTGATTCGAAGTGAGGACAATCGGAAATGAGTCCTGTAACAGTCCACACAGGACCTGTTACATGTAGTTGATGACACTCCGAAGACTTGGGCTATCGGATGTCGTCGTGCGTGAGCAAAGCTTTAGTCAATCCCGCTGCTCAACATGCTGTGAACGATATTGCTGCGATGAAGCAGATTGCGGCCAAAAAAAAATTAACCGTAACATGTGTAGGTTGGTCCTCATGCCATGAGAGCACAACGATATATGTAATAAGCTTACGCCTCTCCCAGCCGCCATAGCTAAGCTTATGACCAATCTTACCGCCACACAATGTGGCCGCTTTCCTACGGGTGTAAATTGATCAAGAACGTGTTAAATCGTCGCCATCTACGAAATGTCCGCGGACAAGGCGGTACAAATTCGAGTGCCTTGGGCGCATCGCCACCCGAGAAAATGTAGGTCATGTTTGCTTCGTTTGTCTGTTGTTTAAGCATTCCACGCATCCCTACCTACACCAAACGTCGCCTCGCACGTCTACTCGAGCGATTGATGCCAGCGTACGCATACAGCCATGGCCCATGGCTGGCCACCGATAGGTATCAGCTTGTGCAGTTTTTTTCCCGGGATTAAAGTTATTCTGACTTTGAAAGTCAGAATAAAGATAATCCGATAATAACTTCTAAGCCAATGAAATCAAAGCATTTGTCATAAAGGGCTAGGCTAGATTAACTTTTTTAATTTTTATTCTACTTAATCTCAAATGAAACAGCCCCTTAAAAGCCTTAGTATTCATCTTTTCCCTTCTTTAAATCATGTAGACTTCATGTACTGTACCACCCACCATCGGTGGTATCGTATATTGGAGCAACATCCACCTAAAACCAGATAGCGTGAATGTTGACCCAGGCGGCTTGGAACGACATTCACCAGTGCTTTTTATGCTTTACCGTAGTTTATTAGGTATTCTGTCCTTTTAGCCTATCACTTGCAAGCCACTATACTCTTAATAATTACGAATGTAGCACCCTAATATTTTATAGAGGATCGTCGACCCCCTAAAACTCTGGATATGAATATTCAGAGAACAAAGTCATCCAGTGAAACATCTTGATTGATGGCTGAGTTCCAGATTTCTACCCAAGGAATTCGCCTTCCTCGTCGTGTATCGCACACCTCACTCTAAACTACAGCCGATTTGCGTTAGTAAACTAAAAGCACTCGATGTTATTATACGACTATGATCACACCCCGGGTAGCGCCACCGTGGGCGGGTCGTTCATTGTGATAGACGCCTCTTGAATATTCGGAAGTGAAGCGTTGCGTCTCCTTGTGGTCTATTATTGCATTGATTTAAATGTACCAGTACGAAACGACCACAATTGCATGTTTATATATAGCTTGCTGTAGTGGTGAAATCGTCCAAATCACTGGTGATTCATCCGAATAGAATGGTAGGTGATCCCTCCCGATTTAATGGGAGAATCTAACGAGGGCCCTCATCCGGAGGGCCCTCGCACAAAAGGTCCATGTGTGATTGTGATGTACCTACCCGTATCAACCGGTACTTTCGTGTAGACGAATGGCTGTAAGCTGTAGACGAAGATTATAGACGAACGAAAGGTCACCAAATACAATTTGATTAGCCATGAGCGGCAACAACCTCCCCCTTCACGCTATTCAGCCGCCCCCAGAGACCACTTACAGCTCTCACGATGCCGCTGAAGCCGCGCTGCACCAGTGGACGCTAGATCACGGCTTCAACGTCTCTCGCCGACGTGTTCGGTACAAGGGTGGCCCCGAACGTGAAATTTGGGCTCGTAACTACGAGTGTGACCGTGCAGGGGCCCCTAAGAACACTCAACACCTGACCGAGCATGATCGGAAGCGTACGCTACGGGGATCGAAGCGCTCGGCTTGCCCGATGCGGATAGGAATTAGGGCTGTAGATAAAGATGCCACTGCCGGCCAGTGGAAGATTGTTCATACTGCTCGAAGCACGCATCATAACCATCAACCTTCGCGGGATGTTCGCGTACATGCGCAGCATAGGCGTCGGGCCATCCAAGCAACATCACAACCACTGGCCTCACACACTCTGGATTTGGTTGAGCTTTAGACGGCAGCCGGGGCCACGCCTTCGACGATTCATGCAACAGTTCTAAGCGCAGACCCACGCTTTCTCATCGTTGCCAAGGACATTTCTAACGCCAAGGATGCAAGCCGTCGACACGACTTGGCATCTAGAACGGCAACTGAGGCCCTGTTTCAGGAACTCGTTATCCACAAAATCTTCTACAAGTTTCGCCTTAACCTCGAGACAAACGAAGTCACTCATCTCTTTTGGGCCCACCCAGCGACTACTGCGCTGTTCAAGTTTCACTTCGACGTTCTGGTAGCTGACTGTACCTACAAGACAAACAAATACCAATTCAAGAACCAGCTACAATCCGCACGATTCGAAAGAGAAAACGACAAGCCCAGCATCGAAAGAATCAAGGCAAAAGAGGAACTGGACGCGAGCCAACTTTCAGTGAGCGCATGGATTTGAGTCATCCTGCTACTCCACCTACAATGGTAGGTCTGCCCCCGATTGATATGCAACTGTTCGGCATCCACAAAGGAGACGTAATTTTGAGTTTCGAAGACGCTTTCCTACCACCGCGTTCATGGGGTTTTGCCGGCCGTATCCCCTTTACTGACCAGCAGCCAAACGAGAAGCAGTAGACCAGACAGAAGCTATACGTCTAAATATATGTTTTCTTGCAACTTCAACTTTAAATTTTACTTCAACTTCCAATAATTAAAAAAAAAGAAATTTGCAATATGAACCTTCAAATGCGATGTAATGAGATTTACTCCACCTACTGGCCGCTACCGTGGACTCTGCTCTTGTGCGAACGCAAACTACTCGCCACGGGGTAGTCGACGTTGAAGCACAACTCGCATTTGAAGACACCCTCCTTGCCCTCGCGCTTTCACTTCAACCGGTTCGAAGCTCCATCGGGATTCTGCTCACACAAATACCGATGTTTGCGCAGCCCAGGCCCTTTTAGCATCTTGACACCGCAGAAACCACACACACCATGGCTCGGAAGAACATTTTGGACCACATCAGGTGTCCAGTGCACGTCGTCGTAGCTTAGATAGCAGTGTACACGGTAGTTAGTTTTGATGAAAGCAACACCGCTGTGAATGAGATCTCCTCTAAAGATTAGGCAAAATCCCACGGGAATTTTTTTACAATGCGCTCTTTGCTGTCGTCCCTGGCAGCGAAGCATCCGTCGAAGACTCGAAGCCTCATATTGGACTGCAAAGCTAGCACCATGCTTGCTGGAACTCCGCCGGGATGGGCTGCGCGGGCACGAGCTATGTCGTCGCCTTGGTAGTCCTGGTGGGCCTCCTGCTCTGTTCCGCCTGGCTTCGAGCGCATGAGCGAGAATACGCCTGGCTTCCAACCCGGGTGCAGCATTCCAATGACTACAGCCAGCGCCTTACGCAGCTCCAAGAGAGCTGGCGACAACGCAGCACTATCCACGCGAGACTGTTGGCGGTAGGAGTCGTCGCCACCTCCGACACGATTGAAAACTCCAGTGTACGTACGGGCCTTAGCTTCGGCTAGTAGTGTAGGTATAACGCGATCCGGTAGGACGAGGCCCACGGCCAGATATCCATTCGGCAGCAAGGGCCCGGTGACCGAGTTCATGAGTTTGCTTAGAATCTGAAAGTAAAACGTTTTTGTTTTTGCAACGGGAACGGTCGTTGGGACGGGAACGATCTGCAACGGGAGCGATTTATACTGGTTTATACAAGTACAGATACCGGTAAACTGTAGTTTTTCTTACGCTCTTTTTTATGCGGATGAGGGCCCTCGTTAGATTCTCCCCGATTTAATGGTTATGGATTCCCTTTTCGCTGGTGATTGTATCAATATTCGTGGTGTTGGAGCACCTCACTCGCCACATTGTGTGGCGGTAAGATTGGTCATAAGCTTCGCTATGCCGGCTGGGAGAGGCGTAAGCTTATTACATATATCGTTGTGCTCTCATGGCATGATGACCAACCTACACATGTTACGGCTAATTTTTTTGTGGCCGCAATCTGCTTCATCGCAGCAATATCGTTCACAGCATGTTGAGCAGCGGAATTGATTAAAAGCTTTGCTCACGCACGACGACATCCGATAGCCCAAGTCCTTGGAGTGTCATCAACTACATGTAACAGGTCCTGTGTGGACTGTTACAGGACTCATTTCCGATTGTCCTCACTTCGAATCAAGTCTACCAATTTCAAGCCCACCTCAGCTATGCCCTCCCTGACTTCTATCGCTTCCGCAGCCTTTGCTTTGGCTCTGCTGTCCGTCTCGAACGCCCAACACGCAACTCAGCAGCAGCAGCAGACCCCCCACCAGTCAAGCAAAGGAGCTGAACCTGACAGCAGCATGCTGCTCGCGGCGTTGAATGATGTGGACTCCTACAAGTCGTCCACGCTCATTTGCCTCTACAAGGGTCAACATGCTGGATGTCAAGAAGGACACCTACAACTACAGCGTCACCGGATGCAAGGTGGACCCCGAATTTGTGGGTCGTTGCCCCGACCTGACCTCGTTCCCTGGCTGTGGCAGCTACAACGTCGTCCTCACCTCGAAGTCGAAGAAACCCAAGGTGATGTCGATCAAGAAGGCGTCGAAGTAAGGTGCACTTGGCTCACACGCTTTCAATGTTTGAGTATGCCTCAATTGTAGGCGTAGTAAATGTAACGGGAAATATACGCAGATTTCCAAGAAATGTTTCAGTTTGAAAGCTTTAAAAGCTGTACCGAATTTGTAACATCTGATGAGCCTATCTTATACTGTAAGAGCTCACCTAACCTATTTTAAGCTACAGTAGATAAAATGAGCTCGTATATCTTGATCTCCAGTCGCTCTTGATAGGATGTGATTTCACCGTAGTGGTGTTCTTGTCCTACAATGTATAATACGTAGAAATACTGTAGTGCAGGATTAATCCGAGCACTTTTACAGCTGTTTTTGACTTGTTACAATTTTAAGTGAAGAGGTCCTAAGTATAGTTTCACCGTTATGGGTACTTTTCTGCAGTTTATTAGTTATTGACAGGTAACCAGCTTCCACAGCTGGGGGAAACAACATTTGAGGGAAGGCAAATCCTGTACCAGTAAAAAAGTGGCGTGAATCTGCAATTAAAGGGCCAATAATTTCATGTTAATAAACGCGCTGCTAAGCGTCCAGCACCAACCGGGGACTGACGATCTATCTTTTCAAATACACAATTAATGTCCGTTATTAAACGCTTCCATCATTTTGTTTATTGCGAACTTAAGCAGCAAACATGCGAACTTAGCGCAGTGGCGATGGCGGCGGTCCACCGAAGTAATTCCACACTGCTACCTGTCGGTCCCAGGAGCACGAAGCTACCAAACCATCTAAAAAAAAACTGAAGTCGAAGCTGAACACGAATTCGCTGTGGTGCTGCGCGTTCTGAAGTCGCGGATATGGCGATTTGGTGTTCCAGACCCCGACCGACATGTCATACGACACCGAGGCAATCACGTCTGGATCATGAGGCGAGCACTTGATCCTTTTTATGGTTATGGATTCCTTTTCGCTGGTGATTGTATCAATATTCGTGGTGTTGGAGCACCTCACTCGCCACATTGTGTGGCGGTAAGATTGGTCATAAGCTTCGCTATGCCGGCTGGGAGAGGCGTAAGCTTATTACATATATCGTTGTGCTCTCATGGCATGATGACCAGCCTACAGATGTCACGGTTAGGTTTTTTGTGGCCGCAATCTGCTTCATCGCAGCAATATCGTTCACAGCATGTTGAACGGCGGGATTGATTTAAAGCTTTGCTCACGCACGACGACATTCGATACCCAAGTCTTCGGAGTGTCATCAACTACATGTAACAGGTCCTGTGTGGACTGTTACAGGACTCATTTCCGATTGTCCTCACTTCGAATCAAGTCTACCAATTTCAAGCCCACCTCAGCTATGCCCTCCCTGACTTCTATCGCTTCCGCAGCCTTTGCTTTGGCTCTGCTGTCCGTCTCGAACGCCCAACACGCAACTCAGCAGCAGCAGCAGACCCCCCACCAGTCAAGCAAAGGAGCTGAACCTGACAGCAGCATGCTGCTCGCGGCGTTGAATGATGTGGACTCCTACAAGTCGTCCACGCTCATTTGCCTCTACAAGGTCAACATGCTGGATGTCAAGAAGGACACCTACAACTACAGCGTCACCGGATGCAAGGTGGACCCCGAATTTGTGGGTCGTTGCCCCGACCTGACCTCGTTCCCTGGCTGTGGCAGCTACAACGTCGTCCTCACCTCGAAGTCGAAGAAACCCCAAGGTGATGTCGATCAAGAAGGCGTCGAAGTAAGGTGCACTTGGCTCACACGCTTTCAATGTTTGAGTATGCCTCAATTGTAGGCGTAGTAAATGTAACGGGAAATATACGCAGATTTATAAGAAATGTTTCAGTTTGAAAGCATTAAAAGCTGTACCGAATTTGTAACATCTGATGAGCCTATCTTATACTGTAAGAGCTCACCTAACCTATTTTAAGTTACAGTAGATAAAATGAGCTCGTATATCTTGATATCCAGTCGCTCTTGATAGGATGTGATTTCACCGTAGTGGTGTTCCTGTCCTACAATGTATAATACGTAGAAATACTGTAGTGCAGGATTAATCCGAGCACTTTTACAGCTGTTTTTGACTTGTTACAATTTTAAGTGAAGAGGTCCTAAGTATAGTTTCACCGTTATGGGTACTTTTCTGCAGTTTATTAGTTATTGACAGGTAACCAGCTTCCACAGTTGGGTGAAACAACATTTGAGGAAAGGCAAATCCTGTACCAGTAAAAAAGTGGCGTGAATCTGCAATTAAAGGGCCAATCATTTCATGTTACGCGCGGCTAAGCGTCCAGCACCAACCGGGGACTGACGATCTGTCTTTTCAAATACACAACTAATGTCCGTTATTAAACGCTTCCATCATTTTGTTTATTGCGAACTTAAGCAGCAAGCATGCGAACTTAGCGCAGTGGCGATGGCGGCGGTCCACCGAAGTAATTCCACACTGCTACCTGTCGGTCCCAGGAGCACGAAGCTACCAAACCATCTAAAAAGAGACTGAAGTCGAAGCTGAACACGAATTCGCTGTGGTGCTGCGCGTTCTGAAGTCGCGGATATGGCGATTTGGTGTTCCAGACCCCGACCGACATGTCATACGACACCGAGGCAATCACGTCTGGATCATGAGGCGAGCACTTGATCCTCTTTACAGCGTAGCTGTATTCTGGTAGCATCCTCACCCCACGCGTCGGATTTCGAATGTCCTGTAGTGATAATATAATCGTTAAATAGATACGTTACAATCGGAGTTCCGACGGGAGAGCGTACCCAGATCTTAATACTGCAATCAGCTGATCCAGAGACTACTTCGAACTCGTTATACTTGTTCCAGTCCAGAGCGAGCACTTCGTTGCCATGAGCTGCGATGGTAGTGACGGAACGTGCACTGTTGAGGTCCCAGATCTTGACAGTGCCCTCCGGAGCATGATGCGATCAACGAGTTTTTTTTGCGTGTTCCACACTGCATTATACACTGCACTAGAGTGTTCTGCCAGCGTCAAGATCGAGTGGGGTACCTCGGGCTTCCAAACCTTCACTGTGCCGTCCCATGACGCCGAGGCGAGTGAGTCTTTCGAAACCAAGCTCCAATTCACCCCTGACACTTCCTGCTTATGCTCGTGATAGTTCTGGATCGGGAACTGGTCACGTGTCTGCAAGTGCCAGAGCTTCACAGACCCATCAGCGCACGAGCTCACGAGCTGCTGTCCGTGGTTCTCGCTCCATTACGCGGGATCTTTCGACAATATGCGACCTGCAGAGCATTTTGTACGTGTGTTTCTGGTTTAAATTATTGTAATATCTCTTCTTATATGTTAGAATTTGTTACAGCTGTACAAACACGAGGGTTACAGTGCTATTAATACCAAACGGTCTTGTGAGCAATAATCACCGACGAGCAGGGGCGGATCTATTAATAGCCCGATTTTATGGGGGCAACTCCAAATAAAGGGGCAGGGGTGGGGGAAAGTGCCCATTTGTTT